ACCTAGGGCCAAAGTCCCGCGCCAGGTTAATCGCATACCCAGTCTCCCACCCGAAACAAGCACCGATACCAAAAACAACGAAGAATAGAGCAAGAGGAATCGACGTTCCAGCGCCTAGGTTCCCCTCATCTTTCAGCGCGAAGATCATGAACATCAATATCGCGCTGGCGAGGAACTCGGAGAAGAATTGGCCTGTCTTTGTCATGAATTCTGCGGGGTATGTACAGAAGATGCCGGCTGTTGCTGTAGTCGAGTAGCCTGGCACAGTGCGGATATGGGCTCCGCCTTCGTAGGCGTTGATGGCTGATTTATAGTTTCCGTATACAATTGCTGAGCCGCACATCGCGCCGAGGATTTGGGCTAGGACGTAGATTGGTAGTTTGCGCCAGGGGAAGCCGCGGAAGATGCAGTTTGTGAATGTTACCGCTGGGTTGATGTGGCTGCCGGATGCGCCGCTGGCGTATACTCCCAACATGACGCCGAGGCTAGGTAGATTTTGTTAGAATCGGATAAAGCATAGGGCCACGAGACGGATGGAAAGGAAAGGAAGGATAGGTGGCTTACCCCCATCCCCAAGAGATAGATTGGTAGTCACCCTTCTGGCCATGACTGAGCAGCACCTGCGCTACAACCCCATCACCGAACAAGGTGAGGATCAACGTCCCAAAGAACTCTGAGAACGCATCACGGCCGTACTCCCTGACCCGAGACCAGAGCAGCGGCCGAGTATAAGGACTCTCAATCTCTGGGTTGATATGATGGATAGAAGTCTCGTTTTTACCACCCAAACACAAAGACCCACAGCCACTATCATGACTATCCGAAGAAAGAGTCTCACGGTGAACTTTCGACATCGTATCAACCTCAATCTCCTTCCAGGAAGCCATAGACGCAGAAAAGAAGGGGGGCGTCCTCCAGAGCGGGATTGGTTTCGACTTGATATAGTACGACAACCGCGGGGGCAATACACGTTCCCTGTGTGTAGGGGGGTATAGTTGTCTTCCGGTATATCAACGTAGTCAGAATCAGGTCCGCACAGTGTAACCCCTACTCTTCTCAATTCTCAAACCTTGCGCTGCTTCTTGTACAAGGCCCCGTCGGTTCGATTGGCTGACACACGGTCCTTGTCCTGATGGCGTGTGGTGTGTGCGTGTCTGGTCCTGCTGTTTCCGGTGATATCTTTCAGGATCTGGGGGCGTGCAAGCTTGCAGGGGAGATACTAGCTGGGGTCAAATCCGGACAGACTCGGAATTGGTCAAGTAAAGACATCTTTCTATTGAGTGGGCTGGGCTGGCCATTGTATTCTGCTGTTGTTGTTTTTTGTTTCCCCTTTCTAGTCAGAGAGGTCAAATTGTGACAGCGCATCTGTGGCCATGGTTTTTCTTTTTCTTCTTTCCCTGAATCCGTTTGTAGAAATTGTCCGTTTGGCTTGGGCTGGCGGGAAACACCGTCTGGTTCCGGTTGGATTGTTCCTGTTCTTTGGAGATATCCACGTTGAGCGATGCTGCTCTCGTGTCATTCCCGCTGACCGGTATCTGCCATCCTGTCCCTTTAGGAGAAGCTTCCATTTCTTCTGTTACTCATCGTCAACCCGTCGGGTGCCAGACCTCACGCAGTCCTGATTGCAATTTTCTAGAATGCCCTAATTGTGTCACTTAGGCGGTGACCTTAACAGTAGGAGACATTCGTAGGGTAGTATTGCCCTTTATCGCTTGTCGTCGGCAGTGGCACTCTTGACGGTTGTCCGTGTGACCATCTGCCAGGTATGTGTAGTGTCAGCGAGGCCGGGGTTGGCCGGATTTGACTCTTTCTGTAGAGTGTGGTGGTAGAAATGATGTCTTGTCCTCGTGTCATCGGATACTATCAAGCAGGCCATGGACTGAATTATAATGCCGTGAAGTTGCAGTTTGGGCTAAAGTCGGGAGATGTAGTTGGGAAGTGTTGAGAAGTCTGAGATATTGAGGTCAGTGCGCCGATCTGACACTTCCACTTCTCAGAGAAGTGCTGATCTTCCCCACAAATATGCAGAGTTGTGGAGTTGCAAGGTTGATCCTTGAGTTAATCTGTTGATCTGTTGGTCTCTTTGTCTTTGTCTCTTTGTGTCTGAAGAAGAACTGTATACTTTGAATCCCAACAGTCAGCTCGAGGGGAAGCCAATCGCAATCTCCCTTTTGACCAGGATATTCCCACCAATCCCTCTTGTTTCCCCGTTCAATTTCCTCGAATCAGACATTCATATTAAGCTGCGAGTATTACTTGTGACCCCGTGGGGAGTCGCTTCTTTCTTTTTATTTTCTTGTATTCAAATCCCGTTTACCTCTTTTTTCCCTTCTCATAGACCCTTACATACTGCATAACCACGCAATCATGCAGTCCGCGGAGATATTCGTGGGCTCGATTGACCAAGGCACAACAAGCACCAGATTCCTCATCTTCAATCGCGACGGCGAGCCAGTAGCCTCGCACCAAGTCGAGTTTAGCCAGATATATCCACACCCAGGGTTAGCCAAACCCACCCTTAGATAAACCCTTATAAACTAACGTATCCAAGCTGGCACGAACACGATCCCCTCGAATTAATAACCTCAGTAGAAATCTGCATCGAAGCCGCAGTACGAAAATTCGAATCTGCAGGCCACAACCGCAACACCATAAAAAGCATCGGAATAACCAACCAGCGCGAAACAACCATCGTCTGGGACCACGAGACCGGCGAACCCCTCTACAACGGCATTGTCTGGACAGACACACGCTCGCAAGCTATCGTCGCAGAACTAAAGCAGAAACCCGGCGCAGCACAGCTCCAAGCAATATGCGGTCTCCCGCTGTCAACCTACTCATCCGCGACGAAGCTGCTCTGGATGGTGGCGCATGTCCCGAAAGTGCGGGATGCATTTGATCGTGGGACATTGGCGTTTGGGACTGTCGATGCTTGGCTCGTGTACCGTTTGAATGGCGGCGCGGCGGCTAACGTCTTTGTCTCGGATTCGACAAACGCTTCGCGGACTATGTTTGTTAACCTTGAGACGCTGCGGTATGATGAGTCTTTGCTTGATTTCTTTGGGATTCGGGGGAGGGTTCATTTGCCGAGAATTGTGCCTTCTTCTGATAGGGAGGCGTATGGGGTTGTTGCTTCCGGGGTTTTGGCGGGTGTTCATATTATGGGCTGTCTTGGGGATCAGTCTGCTGCTCTTGTTGGACAGAAGGGGTTTTCTCCGGGTATGGCGAAGAACACCTATGGAACTGGGTGTTTTCTTTTGTACAATGTTGGTGACAGGCCTGTTTTTTCGACTCATGGGTTGTTGGCCACTGTGGCCTATCACTTTGGTGGAAAACCTGTCTATGCTCTTGAGGGGAGCATTGCCGTTGCAGGTTCTGGGATCAAATTCCTGCAGAATAACCTGGACTTCTTCAGTGAATCGAAAGAGGTCAATGACCTGGCCAGCTCGGTGAAAGATAATGGCGGATGTGTGTTTGTCACTGCTTTCAGTGGACTATTCGCACCATACTGGATTGACGATGCCAAAGGGACCATATGTGAGCTGTTGTCGAATTATCTACTTACAATACCAGTATCTAACAGACTAAACAGTCGGAATCACCCAATACACCCTAAAAGGCCACATCGCACGTGCAACCCTGGAAGCAACATGCTTCCAGACCAAAGCCATCCTCGACGCAATGGAGCAAGACAGTGGTCACACCCTCTCCGAGTTGGCTGTAGATGGAGGCATGAGCAACTCCGACTTGGCAATGCAGGTGCGTATGGCTTGCCAGGGCATCTTTCTTTCCACAAATAATTAACCTGGTTTCAATTCAGACCCAAGCAGATCTCATCTCCATTCCAGTCTACCGTCCTAAGATGCGCGAGACCACTGCTCTCGGTGCAGCCATTGCAGCCGGTCTCGCCGTCGGCATGTGGCGCAATTTCGCCGAGCTGCGCGATATCAATCGTGCTGGTGGTACGGTCTTCGAACCTCAGGTTACGCGCGAAGAGAGTTCTATCAAGCTGGGGGTATGGGAGAAGGCTGTTCAGATGAGTAGAGGGTGGGTTGGACCTGGAAGTTCTCGAGAAGAAGCCGAGGGAGGAAAGAACAGTGCGACTTTGGTGCCAGTTAAGGGGAGCCGAGATGTCCAGACAGTCAGTCCATATCACTCCTCGTTTGTGGATAAAGGCAACACGAATATGGATCATCGTGGACTATCTAAGTCAGGTTATTCCCCCGTCTACTCAACCCTGGATGGAGGAAATACAACCCTGGAGACGCATTATCTGTCTAAACAAGTGGTTCCACTGCGCGCGAAATCAGATACGGACAAGGCTCCTGGTGTTACTACGACTGTTCAAGAGATAACCCAGACTTCCATGGGCGAGATCAAACTCCCATCTTTGAAGACGCCACTGGTTAGTTTCTTGAGTGATATGTCAGACCCAGACGAGGAGGATTTGTACCTGGAGCTGCGGAAGGTGGAAATTTTACAGAGACTCAAGGCACTGCGAAAGTCCAAGGTGAATTACTATTGATTTTGTCCTGGGGTTTGTTCTATTGGCTGGGAAGGGAAAGGGGATATCTCGCATTCGGTGTTTGCAGAACGAGATGGTATGGACATAGCTTCAATTTTGATATCAATACAATGAAGGGAGGTCTTAACTTGCAAACCGCTATCTGGATAACATAGGAGCAAATCTTGCATTAACTTATATAAACATTGTTTTCAGTATTGGAGGATTCTGGGGGCACTGAAGCATTAGACACTCTCTACAAGAAAGCCTCTAAGTGAGTATACCGTTTCATCCATTGTTTTCGTCCTGCTTTGGTCTCTCTTTTCTCGCCTCTTTTTCGCCCGTTTTCGAGTGCCTCGGGTTATAGTTGCTTAAAGATAGTAGGGGTGTGAAAGGGCTTATGGCTTATGCCTGTAGCGAGCTCCTCTGCATTCTGGATATCTTCACTGACTCAAGTTAATCGTTAATAGCAAATCATAAAATTCCACCCAAAGCCCTACTCCTTAGAAGCACGCGCCACCTCCTCTCCTTCCTTAAGGAAAACACAATTCAGTTCCGAGCCAGGACTAAGTGTAACTTCAAACCTAAGCACAGGATCCTCAACCTTCTCTTTCCCATTAACAGGCAACGCAATAATCCGCTCATAAGCCTGCAGAATTCGAATAAGAGTATACCCCATCTCGATAGTCGCAAACTGCTGCCCAATACAAATCCGCGGACCCCCATTGAAAGGAATGAAATGCCACGGCTTCGGCTGCCAATTTGAAACCCACCGCTCGGGAATCCACTTCGCGGGATCGAAGTAGTTCTGCGAGTCTGGCCCGTCATACAGATCCGGGTCGCGCTGCATCAGCATCGTCGAGTAGATAATGCGGGAGTTGGCGCGCACGCCTACTGGTGCTGTTCCGTCTGGCCCGCCGCCGCGTGGGAGGGTCGTGTCGCGGAGTGAGTAGCGGACGTTGAATGGGACGACTGGGTAGACTCGCATTGTCTCATGGAGGACTGCGTTGAGATATTTCATTTCCTTTAGATCGGTGTAGGTGGGCTTTTGGCTCTTGGCGCCTACGCCTAGGCGTTCGCGGATTTCCTGACGGAGTTTGGTGACGACTTCTGGGTTGCGGGATAGTTCGAAGAGGCAGAAAGATAGGGTTCCAGCGGTTGTGTCTCGGCCGGCTAGAAGGACGGCTACGAGTTGGTCTCGCAGGACTCGTGGGTCACGGGTGAATCGGGCGAGGGCATCTAGGAAGGTCTCGCGCTTTGAGAGCTTTTTGTCTAGCTCGTCGGTGGAGAGGGACAGTACGGTTTCAATGTAGGGCTGGATGAAGTCATCCATTATCTTGAGGTTCTTGCGGAACTCCGCGCGTGACATGGCGAAGCTGAAGACTCTGCAGGTTGGGGTGGGACAGTTAGATTGGGTTTTGTATTACCTCCAATAGCATCTGGTACTGGCATCGCACAAGATCAGGAGAGTTGCTTACCCGAAGCGGAAAAGCTCCGCTTGACGTTGCTGCACATATCTGAATGCCTCGGCGAAGCGAGTGGCCGGGTTCTCGAGGCTGTCTGTGCCCTGCCCGAGGAGGTAGTCGGTTGCTGCATCGAGGGTGAACCGGAAGAAGAGCGAGCCGACGTCCACAACCTTGCTGCTGCTGGGAGAGTGGCTGCCACCAAGGAGCGGGATGAGTTTCTGAACGTGCTTCTCGAAGATTTCTGTGTCGACGATACGCTCGCGAGCGAACATGGGCCGGATGAGTTGCCGGGAGCGAGACCATAGCTCTCCGTCTGTGGCGAAGATGCTGTCACCGAGGAACTCCTTCCAGTCCTTGTGGAATGGCTCGCCCTTGCCGTAATCGGCGAACTGACTGGTGAGAAGAGCTTTGATGTTCTCAGGATCTTTGGTCATGATGGCACGGGTCGAGATACCGGCATCCAGCTCGGCGGTTTTCACATTGGCCTGTCCACCTGCAGTCATGATGGTTTGATCCCAGAACTCAAGATCGCGATTTACCAGGTTAGCCTGTTGGCCTTTGTAGATGAAGTCGAGGGCATATGGAAGGCGAAACTGGATCTTTGGAGCTCTGGCACCAAGACGAGAGATTTGCGCAGCGGCTTGCACCTTGCGGAATACGCAAAAGGCGACGAACAGCCCCAGAAGCCACAGTGATGCCCGGCCAGGGGACGTCCCAGAGAGGAGCTCTTCAATCATGGCGCCGTATTGGTCTTAAAAGCTTGAATGTGCGTAAGACGTTGGGATCAAGATATCAAAAGTAACGAAGAGATTTATAGCCCAAATTAGAACCAGACCGGTCACAACGAAACTACAGTAGAATCAATCGGACTCCCATCTCTCCGAATGCCCAGAAAATGCGAAATCGCCGAGTCCGAAAAGAGAGTAGATTGGCTCTTTTCAGACGTCCTTGCGAGCCCCGCTTTATAGTATGACTTCATTTCGGTCACCCGGTCCTTTTTTTATACGACATTCATATTGTAACATGCCTTGGATTGGTCTGTTAGTCGTCTTGATGCCTATTTTATCTGCCTAAACCCCGGATCTCCGCGTGTACCCACCCTTGGGTGTTCGGGTTTCACGCTGAATTCCGATAATCTGGGGAAACTGTGGTGGCTGACACCTCGGCAGTGTTGCATATGATTCCGAGCCCTGCAAAGATCAACATATACTTAGATGTCTTCTGGTTGGTCCGTCAGCAGCCACTCAAGCACGAGACTATATACGGCTTAGGGCTATAATGCCTTGTCTTAGTCTCCGATGCCTGCTTGGCACTACATAGGCATGAGTGAACACCGTGTTATAGTTCTACATGTTCTGTGTTCTAGTTTGGTCCAAGACAATATCAATAGCACATTTGAAATCTTCATTATTCAACTTGTTCATCTTATTCACAATGAAGGTGGCTATTGATGAACAAACAATAGCTTGTTTGGTCCCCTCGATATTTCTGTCTTTCGTCAATCATTTGTTTCAACTACAATCCCTCTCTCTTTACTCAGATCATTAGTCCCGACATCTCAGAAACAAAATTTCACTCGGAGAAGAGATCCAACTCAAAACAAGATCAAACGCCAGCTGATGCCGTTTTGATCTGTTTTCTTTCCCCTCACCGCCCGGTCATCTACATCACGTGACTGGCATACATTTTGGTCTCGCGTCTTTAGCCTCACTCCATCTGCTTGTCAAAGTCCACCTCCTTCTACCAGTTCCATTTTCTGGCTTGCGCAACGCCCAGAACTTCATCTACCGATCCCGACCGTCCTTTTCCACTTTTTTTCGTGATAACCGCTTGATCAGTCGCTCTGAGTCAATCCGAAACGCCTCTATCGGGTGGCGCAAACCCGTTCTTTTATCACGTTCTTGTCCTTGCGACCTCCCACTAAACCGTCACTTCCTCGCTACCCTACAAATAACCTTCATCATGCTGCCTCAGATTACCTTGGAGTCGCCTCTCGCGCAGGCAGTCGCAAGTGCCATCCAGCCGAAGCTAGTCGAGATGGGCTGGAGCGATGGCCAAGAATCGCCATTGGTTGAATACATCGTTCTCATGCTCGTCAACGGAAAATCCCAAGAGCAAATTGCCACTGAACTGTCCAACGACTTCCTAGGCCTCGATGAAGGCGACACCGCTGCTCTCGAATTTTCGCGATGGCTGTTCTCACAGGTTGAGATGCTTAACCAGCAAATCAACGGAGGCGCCCCTTCGAACAACGTCAACATGAATCAGCCGATTCCTTCACAAATGGGACACAACCCCGAAGCTCAGTCATTTATTCCCTCGTTCGGAGAGGAGACCAACGGCCAGGATGCTGAGATGGGAGATGCAGGAAATGAGTTCATGTATGTTAACCCTCGCAATTTGTTGAGACTGCAAAGCTGACTAGATCCATCGCATAGTCCCACCGGACCTAAGGCGATGCGCAACGGACGCGGCGGCAAAGGACGAATGCTCAACCAGATCAACCGAAGCCTAGATCGTGGCTCGGACGCAGCTCTGCACCGTGTGCGCGGACAAGGCCAAGGCAATGGGCGCATCGGCGGTAACAACCGAGGCATGAAAGGATATCAGAATGGTCGCGGTGGCCGGAACATGGGCGGCATGGGAATGCCCGGCAACATGGGCCAAGGCCCTATGATGCAGATGTCACCTGAAAACCAGATGCAGCTTATGTCCATGCTAGAAGAACAAGCGCGCGTGATGTCTCAGTTAATGCCTGGTTTCGTTCCCCCCGCCGTCAACCCTGCTTTCCAGAGTGGTTCGCAGCATGGTCGTTCGCTCTTTGATCGGGTCGAGCGCGGTCACCGTGGAGGAAACCGCGGAGGAAACCGTGGGTACAACAAGCCCAAGACCACCAACGGAGGCGATGTCGACATGGATGCGGAGCAGGACGAAAGCAACCCGAACAGCATTTGCCGCTTCAATCTTCGATGCACGCGTCAAGATTGCCCATTCGCACACCAGTCTCCAGCCGCCCCTGAAGGCACTTCTCTGGACCCTTCCGATGTCTGCTCATTTGGCGCAGCTTGCAAGAACAAGAAGTGCACCGGACGTCACCCTTCACCAGCGGTCCGCTCCGCCCACCAGGCAGAGGCCATGTGCCGATTCTTCCCGCATTGCACCAATCCCAACTGTCACTTTAAGCATCCCAGCATGCCTGTCTGCCGCAACGGAGCCGACTGCAAGACGGAAGGTTGCAAGTTCACACACATCGAAACTGCTTGCAAGTTCAACCCATGTCTCAACCCCAACTGCACCTACAAGCACGCTGAAGGCCAGCGAGGTGCTTTCACCGACAAGGTGTGGACTCCGCGCTCTGGTGAACATGTGAGCGAACGCAAATTTGTGGGCGACGTTGACGGCCCTGAAGAATTGATCAAGCCCGAGAACCAAGAGGGTACTCAAAGCCAGGAGCTTACCGCATGACTCCGCCTGACATGACCGAAGAATCCAAATCCAAAATAGGGCCAAGGCCCGTTTTCCAAATCCAACAATACCATGTACAATCCAATCTGCTGTGAATGAGGAACGGCAAGGGAGGGCGTTGATACTCATGAATTTGCTTGTTTGCCCCAGATGTCTTTTTTTTTACTCTTCTTTCTTTCCGTACATAGATATCCCTTTTGATCTTTCAAAAAAGAATAATCTGAAAGCGATCAATATCGCTAAATATACTGCTTAACACCTGGCTTCCATAGGTTATCGTAGAGGGGCGGCCGCTCCGGGGAAGTCCCCAGCTTAAGTAAGGTGATAGGCCCGAGGACCTTCGCGGTTGATCTTAGCTTCTCCAACTAAGTATTGCACACCCAAGATGCGGCTACCACACTCCTCAAGCCTATTAAGGGGAGGACAATTGGCCAGCTTCTACAATCGCCACGATTTTGCAGCCACACGCAGCCACAGCACCGCCGTACTAGGCGGTGGCATCACCGGCCTCACAGCCGCCTGGCAGCTTACCCAGGACCCCAAATGCAAACAGGTCGTGCTATACGAGAAATCAAACCGACTAGGAGGATGGGTCGACTCCGAAAACATCCCTGTCGAGGGCGGCAATGTTGTGTTCGAGTACGGGCCACGGACACTGAGGAGCTCGCTGCCAAGCTCTCTGCCTACGCTTTACCTGGTACGGGCACCTGCTCGCGTGCCTCTATCTTCTCAGGGATATGCTCTCGATATGCTAACCCCAATTGACAGGCTACGAACCTTGGCTTGTACAAAGACCTCATCGTTACCTCGAAAAACAGCCCTGCGGCTCGGAATCGCTATATCTACTACCCGGACCATCTCGTTCGCATGCCCGCGCTTGAACCGAACTTGACCCGACTTGAGTTTATGAAGAAGACTTTAGAAACTCTTTGGAATGAACCGGTCTTTGATAAGCTGTTCACGGGGATTTTGCATGATATCTATACTCAACCACGTCATGCGACTGAATGGGCGAAGGATGAATCTGTTGCGGAGTTTATTGGACGACGGTTTCACCCCAAAATCGCCGATAACCTAGTTTCTGCTGTGTACCACGGTATCTATGCCGGCGATATCGATCAGTTAAGTGCCCAGATGCTCATGGGTTCGATTCGCGACCTTGAAGGAGGCACCGGGGGTGTTGGTTCGTTTGTGCCTGGGGGCATTTTCTCGTCTATGGTACACCGGGCCTTCTCCCGCAAGAAGTCATGCGCGATAGATGATTATCTGGCCGTGGATGCTATCTCAGGGTCGCCAGAGCTATCGAAGTATCAGCACGACCTAGAGCGCATAGTGGCTAAAGCTAGTACTTTCACCTTTAAGAACGGTGTTGGCCAGCTGATTGACGCCCTCGTTACTTCTTTGAAAAGATCCGGCAAAGTCAAAATCATCATGAACTCGGATGTCAAACAAGTAGCGTCCGATCCAATGTTTGGACTAGAGGTATGTCTTTCAAAGCCCGTGCTATACCAGACCCGTTACTGACTGTTTATAGATCGGGACTCCAACAGCCAACGGGAAAGGACTTCAAAAACAACAGTTTGACCATGTCATATCTACAATTCCCCCAGTGGCACTTGCCAACATGCTAGTCCCAAGCAAGGGATTGAACGAGAAACACGAAGGCACCACCCGCTCCCTCCTCCGCAAACAAAACTACGCAGTGACTGTAATGGTCGTCAACCTCTACTACCCAAACCCCAACCTCCTCCCCGTGGAAGAAGGCTTCGGCTACCTGATCCCGCGCTCAATCCCCTACGAACAAAACCCGGAATGCGGCCTAGGCGTGATCTTCGCCTCAGCCTCTAGTGTAGGAAAAGGCACACATCCCACCTCACCAACAGTCAAACAAGATTCCGCTCCAGGAACCAAACTCACCATCATGTTGGGTGGCCACTACTGGGACGGCGTAGACAACTATCCCGACCACGACACCGCTGTGAAGATGGCCCGCGATCTCCTCAAGAGACATCTAAACATCACCGATACTCCAACCGTCGCACGTACTCGTCTACAGAAGGACGCCATCCCCCAGTACACCGTCGGCCATCTGCAGCGCATGTACGATCTATCATATACATCACGCATCGAATACTCCAGGCAGCTCATCCTCGCCGGAAACTGGTATAATGGCGTTGGTGTGTCCGACTGTGTTAAGCAGGGTATCCTGTCTGCGACATATGGTACTGGTATGATTACACCTGATACCAGGCGCGGTCCCTGGCGTCCGTGGAATGGTGTTGTCGATCCTAATTGGGATTATGAGGGTGGTATTGTCATGTCGCCCGTTCGTTTGACTGATACACCTCTGTAGATTTATGTGACTGGCTCATATAGTTGTTTTTTACAGCGTGTGCTTAGCATTGTATAGTAGAGATTTTTGGCCTGGAGTGGACCAAGCCATGGACTGTGAATGGAACTTTGTACGATATTTGTCTATTTAATTGAATGGGAGAACCTGTGCCGGAGATGCTTGATGCATGTTTCTTGGTATTATTGCAATTTATTGCCGCGTCAATCAGCATTCTTTGATCTGACCCGCCAATGATGATTGGTGTATTCACTTCTAAGTCGAGGCTGAGGTCGAAATTAGGGGTAAAGTGAGATCTTCGGGTGCTTGGGATCGGCAATTATGGGGTGATTGGCGGAAAGTCGCCATGGCGGATCGCGCATGGCCGGCGCTTGAGCTGGAAGAGGGGGCAATCGCTGTGTGGCCGCCAGTCACCTTATATAGTGCTCAGTTTCCAGTCATCAGCTGCAGATCTACAGAATCGGCGGGGCATCGTGTCGTAGAGGTGCTTGCAGCAAGCCCGGTGATGGCGATATGTGAATGCCCTCAAGACATGAAGAGTAAATGATCCATGACAAAAACCAGTAATCCCGCGTTTGAGGATTGATGTAGTCATTCAGACCTCTTATTGATCGTCGGTCTTCTTATCACCGTTGGAGTCAAAGCCAAGCATATCCAATTGGCGCACCAGTTCCTGGATTTTGATGACCTTCTCAAGCTGCTCGGGCAACAGTGCCTCGCCCTGCTGCTTTTTGATGCGGAGATCGCGAGCCTGTCGGAGCTTCTTCTTAAGGTTGCGGGCCTTCTTCTCCTTCTCAACCTCCACGTCAACTGGTTCCTCGGCGGGCTTTTCTTCCTTCTTGGGTGGTGCTGGGGCACGCCAGTTGTTGGACTCGACGCCCTTGGTCTCGGCGGGGTTGGTCTGATCGACTTCCTTGGTCTGACGCTTGGCCTCGCGGCGCTTGGCGTTTTTGTTGCTGGCTGCGGTGTTTGCGGTGTTGGTCTTGTCTGCTCCGGTGCTCAATGATTCAGCACCTGGCACCCCGCCTTTTCCGCGGTTTTTCCAGGCGGCCGCTGCGCCGGTCTTGTAGAGCTCTACATCCTCTGGGGGCCTGTAGCCTGGCTTGACGCGAATCTCCTTGCGCTTGGAGCCGTCGGCGCGCACCGAGGCGGGAATGTAGCGTTCGCCGGTTTTGGCATCGGTGGTGATGCCGGAGCGGGCGACGTGGGAAGCCATGGTGGATAAGGGGGTGTTGTGGAGAGGAAAAGGACAAAAGCAAGAACGACAACGAAGTAAAAAGCGAGCAGCGTCAAGCGCCCAAAGAGGAAGTTGAAGACTTGAAGAGAGCAAAAACAACAAAGATGAGTGCGGATGGCCGGAGGCTCAGTGGGCCAATCAGCGGACCGGGAATTCCCGCAGCTTTTCGCTCAACTTCGCAACCTCACGTCTCTCTTGACTCCATCCTCTCGAATCCCCCTCGGTCGTGACTCACTCAATCGCCCACAATGGCCGGCGTATGTCTTCTCTCTCCTCTATGGATATCCTGCTCTGTTCCGTACTGACCTTCTCGCATGACAGCTCGCAAACGCTATCTACTCGCATGTCTCCCCTCCCTCGTTCCTACGATCGCAATTGCAATTGCCCGACTAAAATCTAACTGTGGATCGTTTCGGTTTGTTTAGGACCTTCATTCGCAAGAACACTGTTCTCTTGACTACCGCCTTTGCCGGTGCCTTTGCTTTTGAGCTGTGCGTGACATTCGACCTCCTGTTGTGTTATAGTGTTATGTTGGGCTATACAGATCACTGACCATACAATTCTGAAACAGTGGCTTCGATATCACCTCCAACAAGATCTGGGACTCCTGGAACCAGGGCGTATGTCACCTACTCTCCTCGAAGGACCGGAGCCACGGCCTACAGCACAGAACACTTACTAACTACTGCTCTTATACAGCGCCAATGGAAGGACATCAAGCACCGTTACATGGTTAAGGAGGAGGAAGATGACGAATAAATGGACCGAATGGACGTTTGGATGTTGGATGTTGGACATCGAACGTTGGCCGTGTAAAGTGGTGACAGGGGGATAGAATAACCCGTGCGACTTGCCCTTATTTCTCATTCCCATATGGCTTGTATGCGATAGATGGAAATCTGTATTTTGACTTTCTTATATTGAACGTGGTGTTGTTCAGGTGGTGACCAGGCCGTAGCGTGATTTCGTGGTTTGTGGCGTTTACAAATAGACTGCCATCGTCATAAGTTCACTAAATCTGTAAAACCACCTCAAACATTTGCTGTAATTGCACTCGATCTTTTCCATTCGGATATTGAGCTCCACCTTCAAATTCAAATCACGTATGACTTCACCGTCATCTGCTCGCCTGTATCGGTCCACACCCGCTCTCCTCTTTCCGCCCCCCACTACAAAGTATTGAGCAACGTGAGACACTTGCGAACTACACTCGATCCGATCCGGTATTACACCTCGGCCTCGAAAAAAATTCAGTTCCGGCTGCATACCGAGTCTCCCTCCGGCGTCGGACGATTCCCACCCGTTCTGCGCATCGTCGCGACGTTCTCACCACACCTGCGATAGCCGAGCGGCTGCAATACACCGGCCGCGCTAAGCCATGCTCATGCTCGGAGAATGTGAGAAACTCCTCGGTGATGGTCTACTCCGCTTGCCCAAGAAACACAACTACCGCTATGGCCCGGCGGCCGAAAGGGATCTGCTAGAGCTTCTGTTCCGGTCGCTCGTGGGGCATAACCAGGAGCTTATACAACATCTCTTCCCAGAGGGTACTCCCACGGGGCCTTGGAAGCTTGCCGAGGCTCAAGGCGCTCGCGAAGGTGCCGAGTACAGTGAGGCGGCGCGGGGCAAGCGATGCGGTCATATCTTTCGAGCTGGCGAGGCCACATACCGATGTGTGACCTGCGCTGCGGATGACACCTGCGTGCTGTGCAGTCGGTGCTTCGATTCGTCCGATCATACCGGCCATCAATATCAGATCTCGTTATCGTCTGGGAACTGTGGTTGCTGTGACTGTGGTGACGATGAGGCATGGCGGCTGCCGCTCTTCTGCGCTATTCACACGGACAGTGGCAACGCCAAAGGCAAGGAGCGTGCGAAGCGTGCATTGCCGTTTGAGCTTGTGAACTCGATTCGCCTGACCATCGCGCGTGTACTCGACTATTTCTGTGATGTCATCTCCTGCTCTCCAGAGCAATTGCGGCTACCGAAGACTGTTGAGGGCATCAGAGAAGACGAGGTGGCATCTCGGTTGCGTCCAGACTGGTATGGCGCTGGTGATGATGAGGAAGAAGAGCCTGAGTTTGCCGTCATGTTGTGGAACGACGAGAAGCATACCATTCGAGATGTTTCCAACCAGGTTTCGCGTGCTTGCCGTGAACGAGAAAGCTATGGTATGGCCCGGGCTCATGAAACAAATGATATTGGTCGCAGTGTGATCAAATATTCCAAGGACCTGCAAAGGCTACTTACCGTTTCCAAGATCATTGAGGAAATCAAAGTCACTGTCACGGTGCGGTCTGCGCGCGACACATTCCGCGAGCAGATGTGCGCAACTATCGTGGAGTGGCTGGCTGATATTGCTGGTTGCGAGATCCTCGAAGACAACGAGATCTTCCGACAGATCATCTGCGAGGAAATGCTCACTCCTTGGAACAAGGGTAGCAGCGGCTCAAATGAGGATATTGGCATGAAGGGCATTGACGACCACCAGAGAAGTGAGAACGGCCCAGGCCGCACGCTCATGATCAACTTGCCTGCTCATGGTCAGGTGATCTTGACTGCAGACGATGACGACGAAGACGAGGATGATGATGGACTAGACCAGGATGCAGAGGATGAGGAGGATGAGGCTTATGTCCAAGCTGAGGATGCGGACGATGAGGACGACGACGAAATGGAGATCGAGCTGTCTCGCCTGCAGGCCGAGCAAGACACAGATGCCATGGACTTGGCGGATGCAGATGAGGAGCTTGCCCTGGCTGAGCGTATTCTTGCTGGACTTACTCGCGCGCAACCGCCGTCTCCTCGCCCACCTCGCGCTGAAACTGTTGAGCGGGAATCTGTTGAGCCCGAGCAATCCAGACTAACTCCCTCCCGCGATACAAATGCCAGGGGCCCTAGTTCCGGCGGCTACATCTCCATTCCTCGAACTCCTGGTTTGATCAGGAGAAGCCCGGCAAAAGTAGATAGTCACTGGCAAGTCCAGCCACCCATGCCTACTGCAGGCGAGAAGGTGCCCCCATACGAAGACTTGTGGCAGCGTACTCGCTTGGACTGGCTGGTGCTTTATGATCTGAGACTGTGGAAGAAGACACGTACCGACTTGCGTGATCTCTACATTAGTACCGTTGTCAATGTTCCCCAATTCAAGCGCATCATGGGTCTGCGTTTGTCTGCGTTGTACACAGCATTGGCGCAGCTTTACCTCGTTGCAGACCGAGAGCCAGACCACTCAATTGTCAACCTCTCTCTACAACTTCTCACAACTCCTTCCATCACCGAAGAGATTGTGCTACGAGGAAACTTCCTCACAAAAGTCATGTCTATTCTCTACACTTTCTTGACAACGAGACAAGTTAGTGAACCAACAGCCGTCAATCCCAATGCAACCTTGGCCTTTGATGCTGGCTCAGTCACGAACAGACGTCTTTACCACTTCTTCCTCGACCTTCGATACCTCCTCCAATCCGAATATGTCCAGCACCGCGTGCGGACCGAAGAGCAATATCTTCCCCAATTCCTCGATCTCGTCAAACTATCACAAGGCATTTGCCCCAACGTGCGCGCTGTTGGTGAGCACGTTGAGTACGAAACAGACGCTTGGATCAGTGCTTCCATTCTCATGCGCGAGATCAACCGACTTTGTCGTATCTTCTGCGAATCCTTCCGCAACCCCGACAACGACCATGATGAAAACCTACTGAGGGCAATCAAAACTACAACTTATACTGCCATTCTTCATTCAGTTGGCATGGAGCGCAAGAGGTTCGATCAGGCTGAGATCAAGGAGGAGGTGAAATTCAGATCGCTGCCGCCTTTTGACTTTGAAGTTGGCGCCTCTGGTCAAGTTCTCTGCCACCGAGTTGTTGAATTTGTCGTTGAGCGTGGGTCAATCAGTTTCCACCACGCACTTCACTACACTCTGTCCTGGCTTGTTGAATGTGGGCGCAACATCAGCACTGCTACCATGCGCAGCGTTCTCTTTGATGCTGCTCAGATAGCGAGGGCTGCGATTCAAGACGCCAAGGCGAATGATCAAAACAGCGTTGACGACCAGTTGCTTTCCCTTGGAACTGAGGACCTGCTTCTGGCTATGTTCGATTACCCGCTCCGGGTATGCGCCTGGCTTGCGCAGATGAAGGCTGGCATGTGGGTTCGAAACGGTCTCAGTCTTCGTCACCAAATGTCCCAATACCGCGGGGTCTCTTCCCGTGACTTTGCGTACTACAGAGACATCTTCCTTCTCCAGACCGCGATGGTGACTTGTGATCCTAGCAGAGTCCTTGCTTCTATTGCACACCGGTTTGGAATGGTCGATTGGATGGCCCGGAACTACACTCCTCGTCCTGGCTATGAGGATTCCCAGATTGTGGATGTGGCAGAGGAATTTGTTCATCTGCTGGTGATCATTTTAACGGATCGGACATCTTTGACAGCTATCGATGATAGCACTCACGTCACCAACGAAAACATCAAACGGGACATTGCTCATGTTTTGTGCTTTAAGCCCCTTTCTTTCTCGGATCTCTCTACCCGTCTCAGTGACAAGCTTTTGGACTCGGATATGTTCCAAGATGTGCTGGAAGAAGTCGCCAACTTCCGCCCGCCAGAGGGCTTGAGTGATTCTGGTACTTTCGAGTTGAAGCCCGAGAACCTCGACCTCATTGACCCATACAGTGCTCACTACACAAAGAACCAAAGAGACGAAGCAGAGAACATCTACAAAGAATGGATGGCCAAGAAAACAGGAAAGAACGCATCTGATATTGTCTATGAGCCGAAGCTCCGGTCCATCAGTTCCGGCGTTTTTTCTGACCTTCCTCGCTTTGTTGGTACTATGCTGTTTGCGCAGATCGTACACCAATGTCTGGAATATGTCATCTCATCGAAGGAGTGTACACCAAGCATTCCCCCAACACGTGTTGAGACTTTCCTTCAAGTGATCTTGCATCTTATCCTTGCCGCAGTGTTGGAAGATGATTCTCATGAAGATGACATGGTTGACGAGCATTCCAATTCCTTTAACTGGAATGCTTTGTCGAAGTCCCGAGAGATCAAGGCGGGCAATTTGACAATCGTCGGTCTTCTGGAGAGAATTTCCGTTACGACTGAGTTCAGCTCTTCAGGTCCAAAGATTCGTCACATCCTCAAACGCCTGTGGCAAAAGCGCCCTCGCACCTATCACTCTGCGACTGCCTCTCTTAGATTCCCCTTCGATAGAATCGACACCAACTCCCCTGCAATTGATGCAGACGGTGAAAAAGAGAACAAGAAGAAACAGGCTATGGAGCGACAAGCCAAGGTCATGGCCCAGTTCCAGCAGCAACAGCAACAATTCTTGAGCAGCCAGGGTAATATTGATTGGGGCGAAGAAGACTTCAGTGACCTCGAGTCTGACAATGAGGCTGCCCCGGAAAAGAAACTCTGGAAGTATCCCAGTGGAACTTGTATCTTGTGTCAAGAAGAGACCAATGATTCTAGACTGTATGGTACATTTGCAATGATCCAAGACAGCACAATCCTGCGACAGACCGACATCCGGGATTCTGACAGAATTCGCGAGGCACTCAAAACTCCCTCGAGTCTAGACAGATCCGCGGAGGAAATCCGGCCCTTCGGTGTGGCTGGAGAGAACCACACCACGGTCAAGCGACTTGACTCTTCTGGAGGTGAAGTCATTAGTGAAAAGATTGGGTTAAGCAAAGGATTCAACGCAAAGAGCACTCTGCGTGGGCCTGTCACTACTGGCTGTGGTCACATCATGCACTACTCCTGCTTTGAAGCGTACTGTGGAGCAACCCAACGGCGACACACCCAGCAGATTGCGCGCAATCACCCTGAGAACACGCTTCTTAAGGAGTTCGTTTGTCCTCTCTGCAAGGCCCTTGGTAACGCATTCCTTCCTATTACCTGGAAGGGTAAGGAAGAGTCCTGTCTTGTGCCACTCCAAGAGTCCGAATCATTCGATCAGTATATGAATTCAAGCCTTAAGCATGCTTTGAATCAACAACAGAACTTCCCAGTTCTCATGGAGAAGGAGAAATTCCTCCCACAGCCATATACAGACCTTTTTATTGACTACCTCTCCAAGACTCTGGTCCCGCCTCTCTCGGCAAAGATCGACCAACTAATGGCCTCGTCCTTCCCCGCAACTGCAGCTGCGCAGTATATTGCGTCGGCCCGCATGCCAATGCCAGGGATCTTCCCTCCCACCGAGGACCTTTCGCCGTCCAGTCCCCTTCAGCAGGTTTCGAGTCCTTCTGATAGCCCCATGTCGGAATTGCTTCAAATATACAGGCGGCTCAAGAAGACGATCAAGATGAATCATATCAGCTCGATCTTCAGCAACACCCCGGAGGCGATCAACAATGACGATCTTGTATTCACTGACTCCTTGATCCGCAGCTTTGGCTTCAGTATCTCTTCTGTTGAGATCGCGCAGCGTGGCGTCGAGTCTGAGCCGGGTTCGACCTTGCTGGACAAGATTCCCCCGCTGACGTTGACCCACCTCCGCGTTCTATCGGAGACTGCAATGACCTACGCCGCTGTTGGATGTCTTCACTCGACGGGATCACCCAAACTCCGTACAACAAATGAGTTCCAGGAGATGCACCGACAGAAGATTTGCCAGCTGCTTGTCGGCCACCCTTGTTTGAGTGGCACTCCCCTACTCAACGACGTCCGTAATATTGAGCCACTGCTCGGTGTGGACACCTTCGTATTCCTAGCCGAAGCGTCGTTGTCTCTGCTTCCAGTTCTCAACATGGACATTCGCCATCTTGTCCACATGTGCTATGTGGCCGAGATTGTCAAGGTCGCGGTCACCTTCATCCTTTGGCCAATCGGCCTGAAGGAGGAGCTTTCTAACCACCCCGAAGATCACGCCTCGGATCCGACAGTATCCGAAGGGCAATTTGGAGTGACCAAGCAATTCTTCGACTCGATCGTTGCTGAACTCAAGGCAAACTCGGTCGGACGTGCCGAGGGCTCTTCCTTCCCTGCTGAGAGTGGCTATGTCAAGGATGGAGAAGAGACTGCCACCCGCAGTGTCATTTATGCTGTCCGCCGACTCATTTCGAGCTATGGTTTGGCCTTCCTACGCAAGGCTGTCATCCTTCTTCACGTCCAGCACGGCGTCGAGTTCCCGAACACCGGCTTCGTTGACGTCGATGCATCGGAGCTTGACCGCCTAACCAAGGCACTTCAACTGCCCTCCCTCGATGAGATCCTCATGTCCATCAAGCCCGCTCGCAAGAGCAACAGCCCCTTCGACGCAGTCGTATCTGGTTGGATCTTCCACTGGAATGCCTCGCGCTCAGGTATCCGCTTCGAAGACCACCGCCTCTGGCCGAGTCTTTCACACCCGGCCATCTTCGAGCTCGTCGGTCTACCCAAGTACTTTGACAGCCTAATCGAAGAGGCAAACCGTCGCCGATGCCCCAACTCCAAAAAGGAACTCAGTGACCCTAGCGTCTGTCTGTTCTGCGGAGACATTTTCTGCTCACAGGCTGTATGCTGCATGACCAACAAGCTTGGTGGCTGTAACCAGCATCTTCAGAAGTATGTATAGCCTTATACCCCGTATCTTATGACATAGAAAACTTGCTAATATCTCAAAAACAAAAGGTGCGGCAAGAACATCGGTCTTTTCCTCAATATCCGTAAATGTACCGTGCTCTACCTCCACAACACGAACGGATCCTGGAACTTCGCACCCTACCTCGACCGCCACGGCGAAGCTGATCCCGGTCTCCGTCGTAACCGCCAACTCATCCTAAATCACAAGCGGTACGACCGTCTGCTGCGTGATGTCTGGTTGTCTCATTCCATCCCTGCTACTATCAGCCGCAAGCTGGAATCGGAGATTAACAATGGCGGCTGGGAGACCATTTAATGAACACCAAAAAGATCATCTGTTTTTTTGCGACCGTTGATGCGTGTGCACTCTAGATTTTCATTTTTCATGTCTTTTTAAAGGGCGAATTGGGGAAATGATGATTGTTTTCTTTTTTAAGCTGTCTTTTCGAGGCTTATCACTGTAGATTCAAAATACTTCTAGGATTCTTCTGATTGAATTGGTCAGGATTCAAACAGCCTGCTACTTGTTTCCAAATTCTAGTCCGCTGCGTAATCTGACCTGATGTAAAGGATATATATTGTGACCAGTGGACCAACCAGACCACTTTAATCACGAAACTGGTCCAAATAGCTTGGTCAAACCTTGGAAATCATCCAGCGCTGACAAAAGTTCAAGGTCATTTTAAGCTTAAATTCTCCTTTCAAGGTTGAGTCCAGCGCGTTCTTAGGGCAAATTCCCTGAGATAGTCTTATCGATAAGCAATGCCAAGCCGGGTCATCGCCTTTAATGTGCAGCCTTTCGCAACTTCATCTCCAGGCCACTCAACATCACAGACATGAATAACGAGCAATTCCGACGGCTGCTGGTTGACCAGGGGACCTCAAAATCCAAGGACTCCAATGCAACACCGGCTCGTGATGCGTCGCGCGGCGGCGCAACCCCCGGCGGTCTATTGGGCTCGCGAATGCGGTCCAGTATTCCCATGACCCCGTATGTCGTGTCACCCTGCAAGAATTCTGTTTGTGAGGAGTCTCAAATGCTAACAATGGGTTCGTTTCAGTCGATCAGTGACGGGAGTGGATTTCGGCCGCCAGCTCGCTGAACAACGCCAAGGCGATCGTCCCTCCAAGCGATTCAAGTCTTCTGCTGCGCCGAAGGGTACCGCGCTACCAACCGGGTATCAGGATCGCGCACAATTGCGTAATGCGAAAGGAGAGGATGAACGCGGCGAGGATATTGAGACGCGGATTAAGGCACTGGAAGATATGGTGAAATTAGGACAGATCGACCAAGCAACGTTTGACAAGCTCCGCAAAGACCTTGGAGTTGGAGGTGATCTCAGAAGCACACATATGGTCAAGGGACTGGATATGGACTTACTTAGGAGGGTCAGAGCTGGCGAGGATGTGTCCCAAGCGGCTGAGAAGCCAGCACCACCTCCTGAAGAGCTAAAGGAGGATGCGGACGAGGAGTTCGAGCGCCTGATGGAGGAGAAAGGATTAGAAGAAGTTGCTGCCGCCCCGAAGGAACAGAAAGAAAAGAAAAAGGGCAATATGGCTCCGCCACCTGCCAAACCGAAGACCCGTGATGATATCCTGCGGGAGTTGAAAGCGAAGCGGGCTGCTGCTGCTGCTCCTGCTCCACCGCCGGAGTCAACTTTGAGCTCGAAATTCAAGAAGCTCAGCGATGGCAAGCCCGAGAAGAAGCGGTTTATCGAGCGTGACGAGACCGGCCGAAGACGAGAGGTGCTCCTTATCACGGACGCGCAAGGAAATACCAAGAGGAAGACTCGATGGCTTGACAAACCCATCGAAGTCACTGGTACCGCTAAGGGAGACCTTCCCATGCCTGACAAAGCTGCCGAACCCCTTGGTATGGAGGTTCCGGCTGAGATCGCTGCCCGCTCAGCTCCAGCTGCACCCGAAGACGAAGACGAAGATATCTTCGCCGGTGTTGGTGATGATTATAACCCACTCGCTGGTCTCGAAGGCGATGATGATTCTTCATCCGACGAGGAGGGCGAAACAGGCGAGTCTGCGTCTCGGAAACAGGCCAAGGATACTGTCAGCAAAGAGGACAAGAAACCCACGACCGAAACAGCACCTGCCAAACCAAGGAACTACTTTGGAACCTCGACAACAGAAGAAGAGCCTGAAGACCGTTCCAACCCCCTCACAAAGGACCCTACTATCCTGGCCGCCCTCAAGCGAGCCGCAGCCCTCCGTCAAACCTCTCCCTCAGAGGGGGAAGAAGGCGAGTCCCCTGAAGCAGCCCTTCGACACAAGCGGTTTATTGAAGAGGCACGCCGTCGAGACGCCATGGACGCTGCAGATATGGACATGGGATTCGGAGAAAGCCGTGTCGAGGATGGAGAAGAGGACGACCAGGTCTTGTTCGACTTTGACGATGACAACCGAGGCGGCAAGAAGAGAAAGCGTGGACCTAAGAAGAAGAAGGGTGACAAGGACAGCGTGGCTGATGTTATGCGAGTCGTTGAAGGTCGCAAGAAGGACGCTTCTTGATGACTTGGTCTTGGTTTCCTGGGCATTAGCTACTGGACATGAACTTGAGAAATTGAAGCTACTCGATACCCCCGCTTTGCTGTCTGTTCTTTGTCTGCTGTAGCTGTAGCCGTACTTGTAGCTTGGGAAGATGTGAAGGGTGATATGCTTCCCCCCGGCCTGCACTTGGGCTAAATTTGATTGGGCCCTTGTGATGTACGGCTACAGATCGAGTAGTGACTGACGGTAAGATGGTAACTGACTGTTAAACTCTGCGTTACTTGCTATGCCCTCGATTCTGAAGTTGCTGCTTGCACCTCTCATAATTTGTCTACTGTAGCCACCAAAGTGTGTGTAGTTGTGGCATGACGATGCCATATTGAGCAAGGCCTACAATACGATGAATCTATCCAATTTCCTATTGAGAATTCCCATCAATAGCGGACTCACTCCCCCTCGACTCCCTGGTGCCCCATGCGGCATACGGCAGTCCCCAGCTCCGAGTCATCGAACCCCCGACTCTTGAACCCAGGGCGACGAGGTTGAGACCTGGTTGACGAGGTATTTCTGCCTGTATCTAGTCAAGTGCTTCGTTCAATCCCCGGTTCAACTCGTTACTATCCCCGTTCTGGTGCCGATTCCCCGATTGGGAAGGGAGCTGGAAAGCTTCATGTATGACTCTTCATATAAATACCCCATCCCCTTCCATCTTTCTCCCATTTCTTTCTTTTTTTTACATCTCCCCTTCCCTTCCCATCTTACTCACCCCCCATCCCCTTCCCCTCCCCTATCAGGTTTCCATCCCCACTCTTGTTTTTCGAATGTTTTATTCATCACTTCCATCTTCGTGACCATGTCCTCGACATGCTGCGCTTGTCTCCAACCGACACGACACGACACGATCTAATATCGCTGCCGCTGGTGGCTGCCCTGACTGCTTATTCAGGCCCTGTGAGTCACTTTCTGGCTGTAAGTTTCTCGTTTCTTCCATCCATCTTTCCTTGCCCTTCTGCCTTGACGCCTTGACAACCTTCGTCTTTCCATGTCACTGCACCTTGACGTCTTCATCCCTTCATGTCTTCATATATTTATGCCTTCATGTCTTCATGCCTTCATGCCTTCATGCCTCCTCAAACATGGTATCATGTTTTGATATGTACTGACCTTTGAAAAGATCTTCACACAGCCTGTCAGCAACATGACTGCCCTATTGCGGGGATGATTACCCATCCAGGTGGGTCACTCTTTCGGGATACCGATGCCCGTCGTCTTTTTCCTCGAATTTCCCTTTTGCTTTTTTCTGGGACCGCCAACCAGTGCCATCGCGATCGAGTGCTAGCCTACCAGCTTTTGGGCATCAAGCTGAGGAAGACGTATGTTTTCCAGGTACTGGGGATTACGCGCATCGACTCCACCCGCATCGACTGCACCGGCTTTGACTGCACCCGCATCGACTACACCCACTTCGACATTCGATTCGATTGACTGCATCTGCTCCGACATTTGATCTGCAAGAGAACAGCATGGTGAGTTCCTCTTCCGTGATTAAGATGTCCATACTCCGTAGTCCCTTTTGCCGTCACGTTGAGGTTAGTCTCACCAGCTTTGGACATCAAGCTGAGGAGGACCATGTTTTACAGGTATTAGAAACCCCCGCATCGACTGCTTCCTCAACTTGTTTCGATCGACGATCCCCATATGCTTTGATCGTCAAAGCACCTTAACAGTGAGTACCTCTCCCGTGATTAAGATGCCCACGTTCTGTATTCTGTTCTGCCGTCACGATGAGGTTACACTCACCAGCTTTGGGCATCAAGCTGAGGAAGACGATGTTTTCCAGGTTTTAGGAATCTCGCATTGCATCGACCGCACCATTTACTGCCTCCAGATGGGACATTACGACTGTTCTCGCTTACCCTTATTGTCAACTTTGTTGCGCTTCGACATGGAATACAGTGGGAGGATGGGTTTCACGACGTTGGGAAGCGGAGGATGGTGGTGCAGTACTTGTACTGCTTAAGTGAGTTATGACCGAACCTGCTGTTCTAGGTCTAACAAGAAATTCTGCGGTACATTAGGAGCACGACCGACGGACATAAGACGAACTGAAGCACGGAATGAATATCATGGTGAGTTCTTCACCGTGATTAAGATGCCCACATTCCGTAGTCTTTTGCCATGACGATGAGGTTATTCTCACCGGCTTTGGGCATCAAACTGAGGAAAATCGTTTCTTCCAGGTCCTACGTATCCTGTACTGCAACCCGCTGCACCCACCGCCTTTGATCGTTCCAACAGCTTTCCAGTGAGTACCGTTCTCGTGATGAAGGGGTGTCCTCATTTCTTTTGCCGGCGCGATAAGTATGACTCACTACAGTTAAGCTGATGTGAATGGCGGGTATGGGTTCTAGGAACTTGACGACATTCATCCACTGCATTCGCTGCAGTCGCCAGTGTCTCCGAGCTTGAAACCAGCCTTGCAGTGAGTATCTCTCCCGTGATTAAGATGCCCACGTTCTGTATTCTGAGGTCTGCCTCACCAGCTGTTGGGTATCAATCTGAGGAGGAAGATTGTTCTCGGTCTTTTTAGGATCACCACGTCTAGCCCTCCCTTTCTTCTCCGGCTACAATTGCCACCTTTTTCACGCAGGTGAGCCAATCCTTTCTATCTCCTGTGCACATTAATGTCACTGGAATTCTTATCTATGCTCACGCTAATGAGGGCAATTGCTTCGGGGACTCTTTTACAGACATTATGACGATCTGGCTATGGCCATCACACGGAGCCCGCCGCTCCAGTCCTACGATTCACCCCTCATTCCCAGTCATCTACAAGAAAGATAACACATGTGCGGGCTGCACTTTGCTTATCATCACAAGCTAGCACTTTCTGAGCTGGGGGACCGCTTCTTGTCCCATAGAAACTGGTTCGGTTTACATGTATCTCTGAACGGGCCTGGACAGGAGGTGAAATCTGCATATTCAACGAGCTTTGAGTGGAAATTGTGGAGGCAGATATTTCTTTGAAACAAAATACAACCAATGATCTCTTTCAATATGCTTGCGCGAGTGATCTGAGATGTAGGGTTGGGGACTGGTCCGTGCGTCTGACGTCGGACTTTATTTTCACTACATGTCTTCAGCCATCGCAGTAACTACACAGGCTCATGACACTTCGTTGCTACCGCGGGAATGTCCGCACTGGGCTAAAATATTACCACCACCCGTTCATAGTTACGACTCAGAAGTACCAGTGTATCATGACAGACACCAAAGGCAAATCAAGGCATGAATCTCAGAAAGCGCGCAAGGAAAAACGACAGCCTCTGACCCATTTTCTTTGTCTACCTCTGATCAACACTACTTCAATTACCCAACTGGATTCCTCCCTCACAGGTTTCAAAACAGCTCATCTGCCTGGCCCCAGGTCAACTTCTCCAGCATGTCCCAACGACCAAGCCAGCACCTCGCGTTTGATCATACCCAGCAGCGCATTCCGCCCATTGGGAACCCTCCATCTTACACTCGGGGTAATGAGTCTCTGCAACAAAGAGCGCCTGGAACAGGCTATATCCTTCTTTCGATCTCTCGACTTGAAAGCCCTGATCAGTGAGGCCGATCAAGTCGCTGCTCGAAAGAGAAACACCCATAATCCATCAGAATCATCGGCATGTACCCATGTGGCAGATCAAGACCAGCCTCTGATTGTCTCACTTGAGTCATTACACGCGCTCCCCAGTGCCAAATCTGCAACTATTCTACATGCCTCTCCAGTCGACCCCACAGGCCGCTTATACCCGTTTTGCGTGATGCTTCGGGACAAATTCATTGGAGCTGGATTTATCGAAAATGAGGCTTCAAAAGCTCATGCTAAAGAAAAAACGCACCAAAAATCCTCTACCTATGACAACAACGTAGCAAATAGGTCTACCCCGTTACTGAATCTCCCAACTTCTCCGCCAGCAGAGCAAAAGCCAGATTCGCCAGCAAATGTGGACCCATATACAGCCGCTTTGTCCCGAAAGCCCAAACCCCGGCCGCTTCTATTGCATGCCACCCTCGTCAACACAATTTACGTCCCTGGTCGGCAGAATGTCCAAAGTAAAGGCACAGAGAGGAACAAACCGCCAAAACGCATCACGTTCGATGCTCGCGATCTAGTCTCCCAGTACAAGGATTACTACACTGACGAGACACGGGCCAATGCACGACCGGTAAACTTCGAAACAAAGGACCACCCTGAATCATCCTCCTCGGTTGCCAACGGTAACAGCAAGCAACCCAAATCCCCGGGACAAAATTTACACTCAGTGGATTCTCGGCAATCGAACCCTACCTACCCCTTCGTCTGGGCGAAAGATATTGTTTTGGATACAGTCTGCATCTGCGAGATGGGGGCAAAAAAGATCCCTTCGCATCTCAGTGTCACCAGTAATCATGACTTGGACAATCGCCTCGGCGAGAAGTACACGGTTGTGTCTGAGAGGAGTCTGGGTGATAAGTAGCCATCACGCCCCTCACAACCAAATTAATGCTTTTTGTAGATTAAAGCGGTTGCAAAGGATGTTAGGGACTGCAGCAGGGGTCATAAAGGTGTATACCGTGCCACTGATGGAGTATTGGATAGTACACGAAAGCCTCGAACCGAGTATACTATTTCATGCATTGTTTTCGCCCTACTTTGGCCTTTCTTTTTGCAAGTCTTTGTGGCCCATTTCGCGTGCCTCGGGTTCATCGTGTAGTTGTGAAAATATCGGGGTGTGGAAGGACTTCTGACCTATGAATCTGTGCATGCAAGGTTCCTTCTTAGGCGCGATTCCAATAAATTGTCCAAGAAATTTTCTTTCATTGTTCTGTTGCTGGTACTATTAATGCTTAAACAGAATCCCAAGCCTGCTTGGGTTAAGTTACTACATGTAGTTGGGGGTCTTCATTATGACATGCGTTGCCTTCTGACTCTGACCAGGCCCGGGCTGAACTGGGCCATACAGTAAAGCAGTGATAAACTGCGTCCAAAGATTGGGTATCATCGGATTCCAGAGGCCGTTGCATAGATCCGGCTCCTACGACAAGCAGGATGAGACACATCATTGCTCGCTCAGCATTGGAGGCGATGGGTAGTGGATTTTGATCCATTCGAAGTCCTGACATGTCCGAATAACGAATCAGAAAAGGCTGTGGGCGTAATCCATTCCCGCTGAATCATCTTAGTCGGCTCATGATAGTTTCCATTCCTCGTTCAACAGACAACTCCGCAGCCTTCGCCTTGATCGAGGTGATCATGCTACGCTCGAAGTCATCACGGGTGCGCAGCACAGCTTCGACCCAAGAAAGTTGCAGATCCCAGTATTCCAACTTGAAGGACTCATATACTTCAACAAGACCAGGGCCCTTCTCAGTCGCCAACAAGCGAACAAGCCAGTCGACGAGTCGCCACTTCTGTTTGATGGTACCCTCGAACGAATCGGGATAGTTTTCAAAGAATGCAAAGACAGTGAGGACGTCGTCTTTGAATTTCTCTGTGAAGGGGTCGACCTGGCGGCGGAACTTGACGCCCTTGTTGCGAACAGCTCCCAAGTATCGCACCAGCAGCTCGTCTGAGAGTTCCTCTACCAGGATTTCGGCCAGTGAGGGGTGCAGCACGGGTGTATAATCTGACATGTAATCTTCGAATGTGGAAGTAATGCGCTTCATGGCGTACTCGCCGTACCACCTGGCTGTGAAGATGTCCGGTAACACAGAGTCGAGATCGACAGTGAAGACAATATTGACAAACTTGGCCAGACAATGCGTGCTCAAATCGACGTAACCATCGCGCAGAACCTCCAGCTCGATATTCGCCCTTGTAGCCATGTACTTGGCTGTGACGAGAGGTTCGAAGTCATTTTTGAAGCGGGTCAAGTAGCCAAATTGGCCTGTCTCCTCGTTATCATCAATGCAGGAGATTTGGTCGTTGGCCACGCCGATCATCCAGTCTTGTAGTAGCTGCACGCCTTCGGCTTGGTCGGCGCTTGCGGCTTGATGCCTGGCGCATTCTTCGTCGATGAGTGCCTGCCATGCGCTCTGGCGTGCCTTGAGTGCTCGGAACATGGCGTCAATCACACCTTCCACTACGTCTGCGCGGTCGGATGCTCCTGATGCCATGACTTGTTCGTGAAGCATGCGCCACATGTCTGCCAGGGTCTTGGTACGGAAGTGGCCTTCGGCATTGTTGTCTAGGGCATCTGAATCCCGGTCCATAAGTGACTTTTTGTCTGCGTTGAAAATGCGGTCCATCCATTCTTCGACTGCGTTGATGATGACGCTCTGCCATTGTCGCACCAGTTCTGGCTCCCGGTCGTCCAGGATGTTGGGCTGGAGCTCCGCCGGTGTCCAGCCGAGCTTTTTCATTTTCTTGTAGTACTTGTCGCTCCAGTGGATGATGGTAAGGAGATTGTCCGCTGGGAGCTCGGGATCGTCGATCATGCCAACCAGGGAGTCGTGCATTAGGCGATGATAAATGTCTGTGTATGTCTTGTAGATCTTCCATTTCTTCGGGACGAGGCTCTGCATGCCTTGCTTGACTGTGAATAGATCGTTGAAGTACCACCGGAAGCTCTTTTCCAGGTTCTCCGGGTCACTTAGGAAATTCTCCAATGTTTCCTCAAATTGTCCTCGTGCGTATAGCTCAATAGCCTGAATAAACTTGTCTTTATACCCACGCACAGTCTTAGGTCCAATGTTCATAGACTTGAAACGACTTGCGAGGTCCTTGTGGTCTTTTTGGGCCTCCTGCAAAGCGCGCACTGTGTCGTCATTTTTTTCCTCGTTCATGACCACAACTGCCAGACGAACAACCATGCTCTTGTTATCAGACTGCACCAACGGAATGAGATTCATGCATGCTGTTCCAAGATGGTCATCGAACCATTCAATAACAGAGTCCAACCCCTCAAAATACTCTGTCAAAGTCTCTTGACTACTTTGATCATGAGCTTTGCCAATCTGATCCATAGCCTCATCACGGAAGTCCCGCAACCGCGAGATTTGCATATGAGCGCGGAGAAGATTGGGCTGGTTCTCCATGTCCTCGTCGTCCTCCCTGAGCAGCTCTTCCACTTCTTGGATATCACCACCAAAATTCTCCAATCCGCGTTTCATCATAAGTGTTGCGTCGAAGTGCCGTTGGATCCGAGCTAGCTGGTCGATCTGCGCGAAGTCCTCTACGCTCTCCTGCGATTCGGCGCACAGCTTGTCGATGCCCTGGAGCTCATCTTTGGTTTTCGAGACTTGTCGTTGACCCTCTGTCAGAGCGCCAATGCTGCGTTGTACAGCCTCCAATTGGTCCCGAAGGCCTTCTCGCAACCGTGAATCGACCGCCGCCTTCTTCCGCAAATAGTCGGCCTTAAGACTGCTGATCTTGTCTAGATCCTCCGGGTGTCGGAGGAGATCCTCCAGTCGCGGCATGGCGACAGTCGTATTGTCAGTGTTGACTTGCGCCATGATTGCGGTGGAGGTATTCCGTGATATCGTACGTGCGGCTCAATGCTTCGAAGCTGTCGAGGGGTGAGGTGTCAACAATTGGGGCATGAGACGTATTTCTGTAAGAGCAAGTCACGGGAGCTCTGAGTAAGGCTGGTATACGAAGATTCACACCCAGATAGCACAGCCCATAGTCTCCGCAAACTCGATGTAGTTATTGTCTATCAAGGAACTACATCGCCGTGACGCTGCGGTCATCGGATCGCGGCAGAACCCAGCACGTGACACACCGCCCTTCAATTGAATTTGCGGAATCCGCGATCATCTCCAGCTCTGATTCCACTCCTCGCGCAAAGTCATCAGAAACAATTGCGTCGCAGATATCCTCTGTACCTCCTATCTGCTGATACCCCGATATCTTTCGACCCATCAAATACATTCCGTCCGTTCCGAGTGCGATTTCATCGCCCGGATAACACCGAACCATCAGAACAACAAATATCAAATCCTCCGATATCCTCAAAACTCCTCCCCCTAAACCATTACACCGCCAATATGAGCTACTTCCGCATCACCCTCATGCGCTCCGCAATCGGTCTCCCGCGCCGCTCCACAGATGTGCTCAAGGCCCTCGGTCTGAAGAAGCGTATGGCCACAGTCTTCCACCCCGTTTCACCATCCGTCGCCGGCCAGATCATGAGAGTCAAGGAGCTGGTCCAAGTTGAGGAGTGCGAGAAGCGCCTCACGAAGCAGGAGGTGCACCTCGAGCGGAAACCTGATCCCGGATACTATGTGGAAAAGACAGCTGCCCGGCAACAGAAGGAATTGCACATGCCATAATCTCAGCTGTTCTCTTTGAGCTGGCTGTGTTGCTTTTGATTTGATACCTGTGTCGAATGGTTAGTCCGTCGACTTGTGATTTCTAGTCCCCGGTTCACAAGACATTTGGTACCTGCAGGGATCTTGTATCCGGGGACGGGACTAGGCACGGTCAAGATCTTTTTGTAGATTGATCTGTTCGGCTTTGTCCGGTTTTTCTATTTTTTTTGGTTGTTTTGGCTTTCCTTGCATGGAGCGGGTTGCTTTATTATTTTGATCATGTACTCTACGTCCTCATTTATCGAGCAGATGTCTCTGCTGCAACCATTGTATTATACACTTGACATACTGCTCCTTGGGGCTTTTCAATATTCTCGTGGTGGCTTCACGGCGTAACTAAGATTCAATCTGTGAGAATGCCTCCTGTGGGGTAAAAAAACAACTCTCAATCGTAGCAATGCTTCTGTTGCTGATTCCCCCACGCTAAACAGAATTAGAGCTCAAAGTGATTTCCAAGAGAAGGGCGGATAGCTGATTGCATTTCTTAAATAGCCTCATCCTCACGGGGGAGGTAAGAACGTATAAGTAACCTTAAGTTACTCCATATAAGGCAACGTCCTCCGTTTTTTTGATACACATCTCTCCAATGGTCCTCTGGTTCCCAGTCTGTGTCCAAATTCTTTGAGCCCATAGATTATGTCGTAATGGAGAATCCTGCCTATCCCAGAGGTCTCTGCAGCCACAATTGCTTTAAAGGCTTTCTAAGTATAGAGTCCACCTGGGCACCAAGTAACATCTGATTCATCCGGATATAACTCAAAAAAACATCGTGTAGTCTTGCATATTATAAACTAGTATTTCATATTAAACGAAACGTCAACTTTAGGGGAGCCGTCTGTCCTTGCCGCCTTCTCCATATCATTCAAAGGTTCGTTTACTCATATCCAATCGCCTTGGGGTACCGCACGTACGCCAACTGGCCCGAGGGAGCCATGGCCATGCTCGTCTGCCCGGACACACCAGGCTCCTCGCCAAGCATGTTCTGAGGGTAGCCGATATCGAGCGGCTTAACAGCCTCGAGGAAGGCAATCTGAGCATCAGTGAGACGAATGCTCAGCGCCTTAATGTTGTCGTGCAGGTGCTCAACCTTACGGCCGCCGATGAGAGGGAACACATTGGGTGTCTTGGAGAGGACGTAAGCCAGCGCAATTGCGGTAACCGACTCGATGCCGTGCTCGGAAGCAACTTGCGCGAGAGCCTCGCTCATGCGAACCTGGTCCTCGCCCTGCTCGGAGCCCATCATCTTGCGCAGACCCTCGCCGCTAGCAGCGCGCTCAGCAAGCGCAGCCTTGGTCTGGAACTTGCCGCCACCGACGGCGTCCCAAGGGGCGAGCGCCATGCCGAACCGGCGCGCCATGGGGATAATCTCACGCTCAAAGTCGCGGCTTAGCACGTTCCACCGGCCCTGGTAGATGCTAAACTGGGTCTTGCCCGTCAGGCGAGCGTATGTGTTTGCCTCACTGACAATCCATGCGGGCGTGTTGCAAATTCCGAGGTAAAGAACCTTGCCGGACTGCACGAGAGCGTGTAGGCTATCCATAATCTCTTCGACCGAAGTTGTGTAGTCCCACCAGTGGACGTACAGAATGTCGATATAGTCAGTGCGCAGCTTCTCCAGAGAGTCGCGGACGCTCATGTGCAGGCTACGCTTGTGATTGCCAGCGTGGTTGACAGTCTTGCCCTTGCCCTTTGCGTATGCCTTATACTCGCCGGTGTACTTGGTAGCAAGTACGAGCTGGTCACGATTGTCGCGCTCCGCCATCCACTCGCCGATCCATGTCTCGGACTCTTCGTTCTGGTAGTTGTTGGCTGTATCAATGAAGTTACCGCCGGCCTCTGTGAATGCGTCGAGCAGCTTGTAAGAGGCCTCCTTGTCCATTGTGCCCATTGCGGCGGACCATGCTGAGCCGATGGACATGGCACCGAGTTGCAGAGGAGACACGCGAATGCCAGCTGTTGAGGACAACACTCGGTAGCGGCCGAGCTCTGTAGGAGGGGCCGGGGCAGGGGCGAAGGCGTCCATTTTGAGTGGTTGGTGGGTATAGGTAGACTTGGGGTAGAGGGGTGGAAGGAAGAGGGAACGACCCAGGGGGGATCGGCTTTATATATGACTTAGTGGAACTATAACCCATGGACCTGACAACGGGGGATCAATCGGATTGTGCTATTTATTAGACGAGGCCCACTGTTCATTTTCCTAATTGAGGTTGTGTTGTGCCGTGATGTTTTATACTTTATACACGGCTTCATCTACAATCCATGCACATTTTACCCTTTGAACAACTGAATTAACAATATTATGTCCTAAAATATATATACAGAGAAAGTACCAAACAATAACATCGCAAGTACGCAGTACAAGTATCACATGTTACATCAGGAATAGGGAATGTGTTCAGTTCCCTTGGATCGTCATCCTCTTCATGTTCTCCCAAACATTTCCAGACCGCTGGAACACCTTTTCGGCCATATACTTCATCTTCTTGCCCGAAGGGCTGGCAATAAAGCCTGCCTCGACGAGGAACTGCACGTTGCGCCGCACCGTGGCCTTGACGTGCTGCTTCTGTGATGGCGACACCATATTCGGGTCCAGCATAACGTCACCACCGAGACGGCCCTCTAGTGCGTCAAAGACCTGGGACACAGGCCACAGAGGGTGTGAGCTGGATTCCTTCTGGATGGAGTCACGCATCATCTCCAGCCAGGTGTTGTGGTCCACCTTGCGCAGGGGGTACTTGAGCTCGCGGTGGAAGATCTCCCAGAACTCGCGTTCGGTGATACCCTCAGTCATAAAAGTCACAGTCTTCATTGACTCAGCGGGGCAGAACACCTGCTTGAGCGACTCTTCAGCAACGCGGGTGCTGCTAGTCACATACATCCACCCGTTGCCATAGTCATCGCTGAAAGCGCTCGCATCCACAACTCCGGATGCCAACCGCCAGACAAAGTCATCGGTGTTGGCAACACCTTCCTCGGGGGTTCCGAGAATCAGGCCGGGCTTCACAATGCCGAACTGGTTCGGGTGTGACTTGGCAAACTGCTTGACCAGAAGCTCAGACAGGTACTTGGTCTGGGCGTATCCGTTGGCATGCGCAATTTCGTTGGCAATCTCCTGGTCCGTCTCGTTTACATGCCAGCGAGAGCCACCAGATACGTAGGACATGCGAGGGCGGGCAGGGGAGCTGATAGCCGCCTTGATGAGCTCGGCGGTGGAGCCGACATTGGCAGCTCGGAGGACCTCAGTACCAGCGTTCCAGTTGACAGCCGCACCAGCGTGGATGATGGCGTGGACAAGACCATCGTTAGGGCTGTCGCCACTCAGCGATGCCCACTGCTTGGGCTCCAGGCCTAAACGTGGCGCGGCAAGGTTACCCGACCAGACCTCGAGCTTGCTCAGGTAGTAGTCAGACCACCACTGTGCACGAACAGCGGCATCCTTAACTCGGTTGAAGGCGTCGGATGGGCTCTTGGCGCGAACGTGGGCAATGACGCGCCCAACATCGGGGCGGTCACAGAGCTGACGCAAGATCTGTGTGCCGAGGAATCCAGTTGCACCAGTGACGAAGACGGTCTTCTGGGGCAAAGTTTTGGCAAGAATGTCCTTGAACAGAGCATCAGCCTCCTTCATGGCGTCGAAGGCAGGAAGCTCCTTTTGGACTTCACCCGAGAGCTCGGCGTCAATCAAGGTAGACAATCCACGGACGGTCATATGACCGTCAAGAAGGCGTCCAACGTCCACCTTAACGCTGTAGTGCTGCTTGATGAAACTGGCCAAGCTAATGGCTTGGACGGAATCAATACCCATCGACGCGATGTTAAAGTCGCGACCTTCCAGGGGAGTATCCTCCCGGTTAACCAAGTTATCGATCTTCTTGCTGATGGCGAGAGCCTTGGTCTCGTTGGCCCGCAGGTTGGAGGTGGTAGGACCCTCGCGCTTGATGCCCAGAGTGGGCTCAAAGTCGGAGGGAAGCTTGGCGAGCCACTGATCCACTACCTTGCGGTCGATCTTGGTGGAGGAAGAGCTAGGGATCTTGCGTACAGCAATCCAGATGACGGGAACCATGTGCACTGGTAGCGTTTCCGAGAGGTGTTGAGTCAGGGCGGCCAGGTCGAAGCCCGACTTCTCAAAATCATCGTTTGGCACAGGGCTCAGATCGGAGCCTGCGGTCGATGCAAGCTCGAGGATACCAACCAGCTTGTGAGCGTACAGACCGTTCTTGGGGTAGGAGGCAACTGCCTGTGAGACATCGGCTGGGAGGGCGAGGTGGTACTCGATCTCACCAAGTTCAACACGCTGACCACGAATTTTGACCTGCGTGTCCTTGCGACCCATGAACAGAATGGATCCATCAGCAGCGTATCTGACCAAGTCACCAGTCTTGTACAGACGGTCGCAGCGGTTCCATGGCAGCCACGGTGGACGCTGGATGAAGGCAGCTTCCGTCTTGTCCGGGTTGTTCAGGTAGTGACGAGCCAGGACATTGCCCTCAACAAGAAGCTCACCAATGGCACCAATGGGAGCGAGCTTGTTGTGGTCCTCACGGTCCGTGATCCAGTTGGCAGAGCCGACGGAAGTACCAATGTTGTTGGGAAGCGTACCAGGAACGACCTTCCGATTCGACGTTGTGCAGACACAGCATTCCGATGGGCCGTATCCATTGACCAGGCGGACGTATGGAGTCCATGCGGCAACGTGAGCGGCGCTCATAGCCTCACCAGCGAGAGCCAGAGTCTCCAGGGTGGGGACAGTGCTAGGGTCGATGGTGTTGACAAAGGATGGGGTCAACACAGCCCAGTTGACGTTCATGCGAGTCATGGCCTCGGCAATGTCTCCACGGCGCTCAGACTCAGAGGGCACACACACACAGCCACCCTGCACCAAGGTCGACAGAATCTCGAGGATGCTGGCGTCAAAGGCATAGGACGCGAACTGTAGGACACGGCTACCCATCTGGAGCCCCTCCTTGTGAGCGAGGGCAGCGGTACAGAAGGCACGGTGTTCGATAACGGAGCCCTTGGGAGCACCGGTACTACCGGAAGTGAAGATAGCATAGGCGGCATGCGTGGGAGCGACGGGAGTAGGAGGCGTCCGGGGGATATTATGATCACGCAGTCCCGGGCCAACCGCAATAGCTCTCTCGACCAAGCCGGGGCAGCGGTCGAGTTGCTCCTCGGAGTGACACATGACATGGGCATTGACATCCTTGGCCACCAGCTGCATACGGCTAGTGGGTTGGGAGGCATCCATGGCCACAAATGCACCACCTGCCTTCATGACACCGAGCATCGCAACAATGGTCCACATAGACTTCTCGAAACAGAGCGGCACAAACACATCGGGTCCGACGCCAGACTGAATCAGTTGGGCAGCAAGCTTGGATGACAGGGTTTCAAGTTCCGAGTAAGTCAGCTCGCCATCCCAAGCACAGACAGCAGGAGCTTGGGGCTGACAGAAGTTGTTCCGCGAGATAAGACTGTGAATGCAGTCGTTGACCGTCTCGGGGATCGAGCTGTTCCACTTGAGGAGGTCCTCCTTGTCAGTCGGGCTGATCATCTCGATGTCAGCTAACTTGCCGGCAGGAGACGAGGCGAGCTGCTGCAAGACATGCTCAAACTGGGCGACAATGCGAACCACTTCGGTACGCGACAGCACGGCATTGTCAAAGTGAACATGAATCTCGACAGAACCATCGGTGGCGAGGCTGCATTCGAGAGTGAGGGCCACGGTGCTGAAGTTGGCTTTCGGGGCGGAGAAAGGCCGCATGGTGCTATCCTCGGAGACAGAGGTTGCGGGCTGGATGACAAGCAAGGTCTGGAAGTTGCAAGCAGCGGCAGCGCCCTCTGCAACACGCGCAATGTTTTGAAGACCGTAGTTCTGAGCAGGTGTCATCTCGATGGACTGCGAGTTTACACGCTGAAGCCATTCGGAGACGGGCTGCTCTCCGTTGATCTGGGCCTTGATGGGAACCGTGGCAATCACAGCACCGACAATATCTTCAACACCAGGCACCGGGGCATTTCTTCCACTGAGAGTGCAGCCGAAGACGGTCTCGGGGGCATCGCAGTACCGGGCCTGCACCATAGACCAAGCAGCACGGATGAGTGTCGCAGTTGTGAAGTCGGAAGGACCCTTGCGGCTGAGTTGGAGATTGTGGATGAGCGACTCGTTGGCCAGCGGCTGGTGGGTGGCAGAGGGAAGAGTTGGGAAGGTAGTCATATCTCCCTCAGAGAGCTCTTTGCGCCAGTACTCTTCGGTGGCCTTGTCGGCGTTCTTCTGCATCGTGTGCTGAATGAAGTCCCGGAACTGAGTGCGGACAGGCGGGGTGACACCCTCAATGGCCTGAACAAGGTCGTTGAACATCATCTCCAAGGACATTCCATCGTAGATGGAGTGGTGGATGGTCAACACGAAGGTGTTTGTGGGGCCGGTGATGATGCCGTGATGAACGAGGGCATTGCCCATACCCATGTGAGACTTCTCGTCCGACTCCATGTAGCTCTCCAAGTCTGTGCCGTGAACCCACTCAACATGAGCGCGGTCGACAACCTGAACAGTACCGTACTCGTCTGTGTCGACAATTCTGGTTCGTAGCACATCGTTGTTGGCAACAATTTGCTCCCAATGCTCCTTGAACTTGTCGACACTGACAGTGCTGGGAAGCTCCAAAGTGTGGCGGGCGATGTAAGAGCCAGGGACCTTGTTGGACAGGGCCATAAGACCAATCTGCAGGGGACTGCAGGGGTAGGCATCCTGGATGAGGCCAGAGGGCATGCCAGTAGCAGAGACAATGTTGGCATGAACTGTGTTGGTGTCCTTGTCAAGCAGCTCGAATGGAGCGGCCACACGGATCTCAGAAGAGGTTGCAGGCACCATGGCCTTGGCCATGTCACTCAGAACCAGATTTCCCAAGATATCACCAACCTGGAGCTGGAAGCCCTTAGCACGGCAACGGCGAGTGAGGTTCATAGACTCAATTGAGTCACCTCCCAAATGGAAGAAGTTGTCAGTGGCAGCAATATCCTCCACCGGGTAGTGAAGGATATCAGACCAGATTTGCCGAAGGGTGAACTCAGCCGGGGTTTTAGGCATGCGGCGCTCGGTGGTGGTGACATTGCCGGCCGCGGCAGCGAGTCCATTCAAGGTAAGGCTGTCACCGAAGGAGGCGATGAGACGGCGGTCGGTCTTTCCGGAGGCAGTCAGGGGCATGTAGGCTAAGGGGAGGAAGACCGAGGGGATCATGTAGGACGGCAATTGCTTGGTGAGCTGGTCGCTCATTTGAGCAGCCAAGGCAACCACTGATGCCTTGTCGGCTGGAGCAGAAGAGAACTCATGAGAGAACTCGGGGCCGAATCCACTCTGGCTTGAGATGAAGGCAGCCAGCATTGTTTTGCCCGCGGGAGCAATCATGGCAACCGCAGTCTTGACGGTGTTGTTGATTGCGCGCATGTGAGCCTCAATCTCAGTCAGCTCGACACGCTGACCACGGATCTTCACCTGCAGGTCCTTGCGACCGATCAAGTGTACGCGACCTTGGTCGTCATAGCGGGCCAGATCACCGGTCTTGTAGAAGCGGCGAGTGATGCCGTTCTGGCGAGCCCATTCCGGGTTTTCAATGTACACGGCCTTTGTCTTCTCGGGGTCCGCGAGGTAGCCACGGGCCAGGGTAGGGCCTTCAATCACGAGCTCACCAACGGAGCCAATGGGCACGAGACGGTCGTGGTCATTGGCATCAACAAGCCATGATAGGCCTCCAGTGGCTCTGCCAATGCAACTCCTCGGCGTATCGGCAAACATGCGGCCAATCATCACGACACTGCATTCGGAGGCGCCATAAATATTAATTAGTTGGGCAACAGGTCCCCAGCGATCAATGATATCCTGCGCCACAGCCTCACCAGCCACGATGAGAGTTTTCAAAGAAGGAATGTCTTCGTGATAGATAGAGCGGGCGAAGCTGGGGGTGAAGATGGCCCAGTTGGCGTTCAAGGAGCGAATGGCGGGACGAATGTCGGTGTGTCGGTCATGGTCCGATGGGATGCAAAGGCATCCACCAAAAATTAGGGTAGTAAAGATTTCAAATGTACTGATAATGAATGTGTAGGCGCCGAATTGGAGGGCGCGAGTATTATTAGAGATATTCATAGCGGATGCGTGATGCAATGCGCTGGAAGACACGGAAGCATGGTCGTGGACAACGCCCTTTGGCTTGCCTGTGCTTCCGGAAGTAAACATAACAAATGAAATATCGCGAGGTTGTGAGCGGGAAGTGAAGGCAACCTCAGGAGAATTTTGGATAAGGGAGGGATCGAGCACGAGGACTTGCGAGGCCAGTCCCTGCACGAGGTCTTTGTTTGGTGAGGAAGCAATCACTGTGCGAGCTTCCACCGACTGGATGATGGTATCTAACCGCTGTCGGGGCTGCTTGGGGTCCAAAGGCACCCACGCGGCGCCCAGCTTCCAGAGAGCGATCATGGTGACGATGGTCCACATGGACTTTTGGAAGCAAATGGGGACCAGCTCACCACGCCTGATGCCGGCGGACTCAAGGTAGACAGCCAGCTTGTTTGCAGCCTGGTTAAATTGAGAATATGACATCTCTCCATCCCAAGACCCCAGCGCCGGGGCATCAGGAGTCTCCTTGGCGGCCTTCTCGATCAACTGATCGACGCAGACATTTCTGCCTCTCGGTAGAATACGGTTCCATGTCTCAATCTGGAGGGCATCCAGCTCACTAGGGTGGCACACATTGGACGCTGTTTGGAATGGGTCCTCGCAGACAATCTGGAGGTAGTCGGCGAACGTGTTGGCGATGTACTCGGCCTGGGCACGGGAAACATGGGGTTTGTAGAAAACGAGATCCAATTTGGATAACGAAGGATCGATCTGGACGACATAGTCGAACTACATATTGTTAGATCTGAACCGGGACTTGTAACCAGAAGCTTTACTTACAGTCCTTTCATTGACCGCATCGGTCAAGGACAGCTCGGCCTTAACCTGGGGGTTCTTCAGCCAAATGGCCGAATTGCACGGCTTCGGATCTAATGTGGAAAAGATGCTCAAGGCCTCAGGAACAGAAACCATTGACTCTGCTTGTAGCAGGCCTTCCTCGCGCGTTGTGTCGAGAACGGAGATGACGGAGCTGTCATGCTCCAAACGGGCCAAGCAGACAGATGTGTTTGTCCATGGCTGCTTAGCTGACCGTGGGTTCATGCCAATGCCCGCAAACATAACATTGTCCGCTCCGGAATAAGAACGCAAGACGGCAGTCCAGGCGGCCTGGACGACCATCAATGGGGAAACACCACACTGCTGGCAGCAAGCATGGACAGCGGCCATGTCCATGGGCACGTTGAGCCGCCCGATTGAAGATTGGATCGGGTTCTTCGAGAAGAGCCCCGAGGGGAGTTGTGACGGAGTCACATCGGTCACCAGCTGCGTCCACAGCTGGCGAAGCCGACTTGCATCATCGAGGACTGTGGCCGGCATTTTTAAAACAAAGAATTACTATATCCAGGACCAGTGAGTGGCGGTCCGGTATGACAGACTGAGCAAAGACAAAAACAAAAAGGAACGCATGAAATCTGGGAAAAGGAAGAAGTTGGGTTTGTGGAAGCAAGAATACGATGAAGTACTGGCCCACTATTATGTGATCTTTTTTTCACATGGGGGATTTAATGATTCTCCCGGACTTCGGGCTCTCCTATTGTGGACATGCATGGGTACTTGGCTACTGAATCTGAAATCTGAACCAGCTGGGAGGCAAAGCGGGTCCAAATGCAGCATTGGGAAAGTGAACTGGAGTTCCCCCCCAGTGGCCCAACCAGGGCGTACATAAAGTACTAGTTTGGTACATCACTGCTCCTAGGGTTCGTGTCATGCCAGCGCGTCGAAACTTTGCCCAGGTGCCGATCCGGTCTGTCGGTAGAAAGTAATGGTTCCATCCTGACGTGGATTCACAGAGCAGTAGACGGGATGTAACCGAGGGTCTGACAAATTCTGGCTCCCGTGCCTGAATGTACCTGGCCCAAATGGTAGGTAGGATCTGCGATGATCATATAGCAAGCCGGCTTTGACGTGTGCACTGTAGCAAGTACAGTAGATGTTTGATATTCAACGCAACCATTGATTTCAGAGTTCTCCCTTGCATTCTCAGATAAACAATCCAGTGCATAGTGGGTACGACGGTGCGACTAGAAACCACGGAACTCAGGGGTGTTGATACCCATGTTGTCACAGACAGCTGTAGTGGAGCTGGGTTGAGGTCAAGGTGAAGATGAGGTTGTGCCGTGTGGAGCCTCATTGTCCAAGGATGGTTAGCGCCATCGGTGGTGGGGCGATGTACCGAGTATCACCGTCAGTACGTGTATTTTGACAGTACCAGTATCTTATACGGTATGTAATATATGCGCTCTATATCACAACCTCACCCGTGCGGATTCATCGATCTCTTTCCGCCAACTCCACTCCATCTCCGCTTTCCTAAAACTCGTAGCGCTTGTACACGTCTCCGATTATCATTTCCCTCTATGCCATCTGATTGATGCCCTGAGTTCTGAAAAAACAATCTTATCGCCAATCGATCCACAATGTGCCAACTCCTTGGGCCGGAGCACACTATAGTTTGGTGGCAAGAGAACTCTATGAGGGCTATGACCCGCTCATGTATGTACGAATGTCAGACAAATATCCGTGCACTAGTACGGTGTAGCTGAAAAGTGAAAGAATTGCGAGGGATCGGCCAGGAGAGATTCTAGTGTCTCTGGGAAGAACGATCTCATTCGATCGTAAGCTCCGTTCACGGGAAGGCAGGCTGGATCCAGAGCTCCGGTCCAGCTTTATCCCTCAGGCTAGAAAGAAATTGAAATAAATAAATTTGCACATGTGTAGAAGTAGTATTAAGGAGTTGTCCTGAGAAACATTTATAGATTCGCCAGCCTGCTCAGAGGTTCTGTATCCAACCTTTTGTTATCAAGTTCTTCTTCCATCCATAGCAACATGCCTAGCGTTTCGGCCACCCCCCTTCTGGACACCTCTGACATTGAGCTTCTGCGTAAGAAGCTCGCCGAAGATGTCCGCATCGAAAAATACACACCACTGGCCCCTCCTGAGCTGGTTCAGTATGAGATCGGACACACTGCCAACAGTCTCCTCACAGTTCTGAACAGCCGCATTGAGGCTCGTCAGATCATCCGCCGCGAGTCCGATCGCCTCCTCGTCCTAGTCGGCCCCTGTAGCATTCACGACCCCGAGTCTGCTCTCGAATACGCCGGCCGTCTCCGTGAGCTGTCAGACGAGCTACGGGATGACCTGTGCATCGTGATGCGGGCCTACCTGGAGAAGCCCCGTACAACTGTCGGCTGGAAGGGTCTGATCAACGACCCCGATGTTGACGACTCGTTCGACACAAACAAGGGTGTCAAGGTAGCCCGTCAGCTGCTTGTAGACATTACCAATACTGGTGTGCCCGTGGCCTGTGAGATGCTCGACACCATCTCTCCCCAGTACACCGCGGATCTCATCAGTGTCGGTGCCGTGGGCGCGCGCACCACCGAGTCCCAGTTGCACCGCGAGCTGGCCTCCGGTCTCTCGTTCCCTGTCGGCTTCAAGAACTCCACTGATGGTACCGTGGGCTCCGCCGTTGACTCGCTCAAGTCCATGCGTGCCCGTCACAACTTCCTCAGTGTCACGAAACAAGGCGTCATTGCCACCACTACCACCAAGGGTAACGAGGACGGCTATGTCATCTTGCGTGGTGGCTCCAAGGGAACCAACTTCGATGCCGCCTCTGTACAGGCCACTTGCGAGCTGCTGCGCTCCAAGAATGAGCGTGAGGTTGTCATGATCGACTGCTCTCACGGTATGTTCTACGTGTCCAATTGACAGAATTCATGCTGACAATCACAGGTAACTCTCAAAAGGATCACCGTAACCAGCCCAAGGTGCTCAAGGTCATCGAGGAGCAGATGCGTCAGGGTGAGAACAGCATCATCGGTGTCATGGTTGAGTCCAACATCCGTGAGGGCAACCAGAAGCCGGCCAAGGGCCTGGAAGGCTGCGAGAAGGGCGTCAGTATCACTGATGCCTGTATCGACTGGGAGACCACTGAGGTGTCGATGCGCTCGCTGGCTCAGGCAGTGCGCGACCGTCGGGCACGTACCGCCAATGGCAAGAACTAAAAGTCATGTTAGTGTTTGAAGTTGATGATTGTACTTAATTAGCAGCTGCGTGTTAGTCGGCTTAATATATTTAATCGTGTCAATATTGCTGTGCGGATGAGTGAAATATATATTCAATTCAAGAAGATTCATACCTGAGCCCTCATAGCCTGCGAAAATCCATTCTCCGATGAAAAGGTAGATAGACAGCAGGTCAAGAAGTTTCTTTTGACTTGGAAAGTTCAGAGTTGGGTTGCCAAACATCCATACTGGATGCCCAAATGGTTAGCGACAATCCTTGAGTGTTGGCCTCATTTAGCTGCCAGTGCGTGGTGTAAAGTTGACCACCAACAGAGTAGACAAAATGCACCAGCAAAACAGAACCAACTTGTGGTAAGGAGAGGAGGTTCCTTATAGCTGAACTACATTTATACGCAGTGGAAGCGATCTACATCGACCGGAAAAGCGTTTAGGGGGCTGCAAAAGCACAGTGAATTATTCTGACCGGGTAAGCGGTTAGCCACTATGGAATGCAGCCCTGTTTGTACACAGCCTCCTACCATCCTCCGTCATCCTCCGTCGTCTCAGTATCTAACCGCGACCCTACTTCTGTCTCGGTCTTCTCGTCTATCAATCTGTCAGCTGCCGTTCCGTTATCCGTACATGTAGATCTGGATCTTCAAGTACAGTACATACCGTGCCTGTCGATCGATCGATCTAGCATAAGCGAAGGAAGGAGATGTTGTTGGTAACATCGCCATCGTTCACAGGGTCCACGTTGCCGTCGGTCGGAGGGCCGGAACGCTGGGCTTGTCAGCATATACTCAGTTGATAATGGGGGTTTAATCGGACTTACTATCTTCATCTTCCGCTGGGAGTGGGTTAAGTTAACTGAGATTCAAGATGAGTATAGATCGGGGCATCTTACGCACTGTTGCAAGTTAGTAACGAGTCAAGCGGAGGGGAAATGGGTCAATCATACAAGCTATATTTGGCGAAAGAGACATCTTAGCAAATGTCTGCATAATTCAACAGGCAATCATGCACTTACGCTCTGTGAAGGGTTAATATACACAATCATGCAATTCAGAGAGCAAACGGTCACTTACCAACTATAGTTAACCAAGTAACATGGTCAGTTTGGAACCATCTTACTGATGTCTTCAACAGGGAGTCTCACAAACTGCGACTGTTAGCATACCCCACCATCTATTGGAATATAAGACTCACGCTCTATTATCGATCAGTCATGCTCCGTAGTCAGTCATTCCATAGACCTCGGGATCATCGGATACTCACAACCTATAAACCCGTTAGCCGAATACTGATACAGTCAGAAATCGATCCACTTACATTCTGTATGTGTCGTGTTAGTTATGCTGGATCGATTAGTTGTCTCGGCGTAGATCAGCGCCACTTACGTTCTAACTCTCGGTTAGCTAGATCTGACATACATGCAAGGTGGATAAGGAACTCACTGTCTAAGGGTAGTTCGGCAAGCATCATGTCAGTGGAGTTCAGCTGATACATGTACTACTTGGATAAGAGATGTACATACCACCTGGGGTCAAATGTTAGCAAGAGTCCTATCAGGTGTCGCAGTGCCAAGAGATATACGTACAGTCTGATACCGATCGTAATGCCTGGTTAGCATCTAAGTCTGGAGCACTATCGTTCTCATGAGACACTCACGCCCTGTTTTGTCAGTATGGATCCAGGAACTTGGTGGCAGAAGGTCATACATTCTGGAGAAGGTCAGTACAGTTGATCCAATCAGGAATGGAGCAACTTACATTCTGGCAGCTGGTCAGCAATCATTGTCTTTCTGTCAATATTCTGTAGATCAAGAGAATGGAGTCATACAACCTGTCCAGTATGTTAGTGGTACACCCGAAATGGAAGTGATCAGTTCAACTCACAGGCTAAACATGTCGATCGCACCAGGTTAGCAACTCATGCCCGGACACATCCGATCGAGTGGGTTCACATACAGCCTGCCGGGTTAGCTTGGAAGCATATCGAGGCCAAGAAGAGATCCTTACCACATCACCATTCTATGCAGCAATGACGAAATATCAGCTAATGTCGCTTGAACGGGGTATGCGTCGCGAGAAAGAACATACGGGATCCATTGGGGAGGTCAGAGGAGCTCCGACACAGCCGGCGACGAGAGCCGCAGTGATCCAGATAAACCGCATAATGAGGTGGGATTCGGAGGATCGGGGAACGAAAGGCAAAATCAAGAGGATAAAAGTGGGGAAGAGAAAAAAGAATGAATGAGAGTTAGGGGGAAAAGAGGGTCTCAGAAGGGTAATAGCGAAAAGTGAGAGAGTGAAAGAGAGACTGGAGAACTAAGGAAAGAGAAAGGAGTAAGGAAACTGGGCAAGACAGAAGGTCAGAGATTTTCAGTGCTCCATCGCACAGCTCCCGACGATCAGGGGATCGGGAAAGCAACCAGATAGAGTGCGGTCTCGGGTGGATCTCAGACAGGGGAGGGTGTGGATATAGATCAGGGTCGATCGTTTCCAAGTTTTGGGGGGATGATCTAATGGGATCCACTCGGCGCTCAAGCCGCCTTTCAGCCACCACTGCGTGAACTATAAGGATATATGAAAGCAACGTCCTGTGTTTCCAGTTGTCTCAGTGAAACCAGCCGTGCAGTAGAACCATGGACTCAATTCCCCAGCATTGAACCACTGGAACACCCACATTGATAGAATATTCAACATGTGGAGAAATAGTGGATCGAAGGAGCAATACAGGTTTACATACCATGAAGGACCAGGTGTTCTGTGGGTCCTCGGGAAATATTGGTATCCGCATGGAAGCCATGACGTTGCGTACCTTTTCTTTACCATACGAAGAGTACCCCTAGTCCACAAAGTTCACAGATCGACATGGAGACCCACTGTTTTAGATTATTATTGTTTTTATTTTTAAATCTACCAATTTATTATGGTTATTAACCCTTGTTTTTGTTTTGACTACAATGCCGAACCATGTTGCCGAACTACATGTACCTTGAAGATCAAATAATAACATTAAGTTATCGGATTAAAGATACATGTACTATTTATTTTACACAGAATTTATTTGTGCCCATGCCCAGTATATCGTCTCAAATCAAGACCTCCGTAGAAGCTCACGATGACCATATCGGGCTGCGAAGTAGGCGGCGGTAATGCCCAGTCCATACACTGCAATCTTCTTTCCCAACCGAAGGAAAGCGGCACGCACGACAGTCGCCGACTTGTCTCTGAAGACGGCGGCGTCATTGGCCCGAGGGAAGGAAGTCTCGGGTATCGGCTTGCCTAGGAACTGACACAGCGGCTCCCATCCTTCCTTGGGGTTCCATTCGAGAAGGTTGTCAGCCGGGACCACTCGGCGCACAAGGTCGTAGTGCTCAACAAAGGCCTGGCGGCCGTTGCGCTCGAAATCACCACGGAACAGTCCGTTGAAGCCGACGCGACACATATGGTTGCCTACGCCAAAGGCCCCCCAGTCAATCCAGCCTATCAGCGTGGCAATTGGGCTGTAGGTCTGGGTCATAATAGTCTTTTGCATGGAGCGCACCCAGTCGTCGGGGTCGCGCAGAGTTAGCACAACCTTTGCATCCGGGTAGGCCTGGGTCAGCTCCTCGACGAAGATGGCACCGGGGAAGTCGGTGATGGCCTCAACGTGGCCGAGCAATTGGTCCCAATCCTTGCGTTCATATGGCTTTCCTCCGTGGTACTTGGCTTGGAAGGCCTCCGTCCACATCTCGGCGTCCTTAGGGTTCTGCATGATGGACGTCATGTGGTACGTGTCGTAACCTAATTCCTGGAGGGCGAGCCATGTTGCTGAAAGTTGTCAGTGGCGTTCGGCGAAGCGGGATGAAGGATTTAATCCCAGACCTTGCTAAGTGTAGATACTTACATAGGGTACCAGTGCGGCACAATCCCAGGACTAGAACCTGCATAGGCTTGACACGGCCGCATGTGCGCCGGTCAATATTGCTTTGTACGAGCACACTTTCGGTGTCCTGCATAGTGCTAATGCGATTGACAGATATCAAGTTTAATGTGACGCGAAATCTCTACTACTTATGAATTTTCTATGATCATCGACTTCAGGCTGCTAATCTCCTATGTTGGGTCCAGTATCACAGTTGCCTTGGCATCTCCCGGAATTTATTGGAGGCATTGCCGGATTACCAATTGATAATACTCTGTACTGGATGTACAAGTAGTGTCATGGGTGGAAAAGCATGGGGGTGGAGTGGGAGGACAGTGAAAATCTGGGAATACAGGGAATACAGGGAATACAATGAGTTCGTGCTGGTGGATAGTTTTAGGCCGAGAAGCTGGGTTTGAGGTCCACTGCTTAGTGATGTTCCTTGCGATTGCCTTATTGGGAAACTCGCACCATCGGTGAATGTTCTCATCTGACTGAAAGAGCCCATCCAGCTTGAGGTTCGACTCTTCGAGAGCAACAAGGGTATATAGGATAGTTGGACAGGTATACAGCTTCAGATTATGATATAAGTACTGTATTTGTCAATGCCACCCAAGTTGATATGGTAGTCCAAATAAGAATTCGGAGCGTCGCACAGTGGCAGGAAAAAACAAAACCAAAAACATGTTGAAAGAATGTTCCAGCCAATGGGAACCTGGGAATCGACCCACATGATCGCATCGATCTCAGTCTGTATCACGAATGCCAAGACATCACGAAGAAGATCTCAATACGCGGTAATGGCGTCGTATGTACGGCAGTACCCGTGGGCCCGTTCCATGGGATTACTTCGGATACACCTTGATACGCATCTCATACCTAGCTCCACTTCTTTCCATCTACAGTACAGTACACGCTTCAGCCGCATCCACATCATTCAGGTACATGTACTCTCCACGGTGGATCAACCCCCTTTCAAGCTATCTCAACTAGTCTCCCCCTTGAGGGTTGATCCTAGGTTCATGATGGGTCAGATCGGAGGAAGTCTTGAATTTGTAACCGAGCCGTGGGATAGATTGAGAAAAAAAACTTTGCAGATCCGACGCAAAAGCAGTCAGTGTATCGGAGATTGTGTTGATGATTAAACTGTCAGACTTGCTTCTCACAAGTGTCGCAGTCCCTCACACAGCCCCCAGCTTGCCCCTCGTTCGTCATATACTATAATCTTTTGAAATTCTAGCCGATATCTCGCCTGATTTCGTTAATTTCCCTTCATCGCCATGCTGCAAGCTGTGTCGGGTTCGTTGGACATCGCGCCATGCTTGTTTCCCACAGAGAACCTCCAGGAGCGGAGGTTCAAATCCATCCGACTGAGCCTGTCCGATTCCAGCCCGATCGTCAGCGAGGTGCTCCTGCGCGCGTGGGCGGTCGTCCTGCGATACTATGTGGGCAGCGATACGATTGCGTTTGGAAGAGTCGATGACACCGACTCTGTATCGCGATTCGCAGTCTGTCATGGCGACATCCCTTCTTCTGCTGCGCTGGAAACGTTGCAGGTTTCACACGCTTCAGGCGAGTCAAATAGCTCGTCTTTTTCAGAATGGATCGCATCAAATACCTTTAACACTCTTGTGTGGAAGAGCGCGAGTCCTTCCCTTGATTATCTGGAGAACACATCGGTATGTCTCTAGCTTTAGGATGAGTTTCTGGTTGCTAATTCTTGCAGTGCTCTCTTGCCCTCTTAATTTCCGATACCCCCTCCTTAGCCTACGCTTCCCATACCATTGGCGAGAACGTCGCCACCGCTGCGGCTGAAGGCGTGGCTCATGTGGCCAGTATAATTATCGATTCACCTCAAACCACGATTGGCGCAGTAGATCTTTTTGGTTCTGCGTCATGGGCCCAGCTCGAAGAGTGGAACGCAAACGTCCCCGAAGTGATCGAGGAGTGTATGCACGAAATCATCGACCAACGAGCGCGGACTCGTCCCGAATTCACAGCATTGGAGTGCTGGGATGGCTCCGTATCGTACGCGCAACTGGTAGACTACACTGACCGACTGGGCAACTTTTTGATCTCCCAAGATGTTGGCCCTGAAGTCTTTGTGCCTGTCTGTTTCGATAAGTCTCTATGGGCCGTAGTATCCATGCTGGGTGTCTTGAAGGCTGGCGGTGCCTTTGTGTGTATTGACCCGGCTCAGCCAGTAGATCGATTGCAGACGATCATAAGCGAAGTAGATGCGCAGATCGCGATGGGAGCTCCAGCTTACCGCGACATGCTCTCCGGCATGACTTCGAACGTCATCTCTATCGACGCCGATTTCATCCTCCGCCTTCCTACCTCCTCCTCTCTTCCTCGTCGTGCCTCCCCCCACGATGCCGCTTTTGCCATCTTCACCTCCGGCAGCACGGGCAAGCCCAAGGGTGTCGTGCACGAGCACCGCGCTATGTGTTCCAGTGCCAGACGACACGCTGCTAAGATGAATATCGACAGCGAAACCCGCACCTTCCAATTTGCCTCATATACGTTCATCGTCAACACATTTGAGCTGTTTACTCCCTTGGTGGAAGGCGGCTGCGTCTGTGTCCCCTCTAAGGAGGATCGACTGGGACGCACCGCAGGCGTCATGCGCGACTTGAACGCAAATTGGGCATGCTTGACCCCGTCCTTCCTTCGATCCATCAAACCCGAAGACATCCCACAGCTCCGGACCCTCCTACTGGCCGGAGAGCCCGTCCAACAAGACAGCCTAGACACCTGGCGCAGTCGGGTGACGATGATGAACATGTACGGTGCCTCCGAGGCTTCGGTTTGCGTGACCGGAGACTTGTCGGGCCAAGTTGAGCGATCAACTATTGGAACTGGTACTGGTTGCATAACCTGGGTCGTGGACCCTATGAACCATGATAGACTCGCCCCTCTGGGAGCAACCGGTGAGTTAGTCATCGAGGGCCCAATTCTCGGTCGCGAATATATACACCAGCCTGAGAAGACGGCTGACGTCTTCATCTCCGGCACACCTTGGATGGAGAAGATGCGCGGCAGCGTGCCATCGCGTGCATACAAAACCGGAGATTTGGTTAGATATGGAACCGATGGCCGCATCAACCTTGTCGGCAGAAAGGACATGCAGGTCAAACTGAGAGGTCAGCGAATCGAGCTGGAAGAGGTCGAGTTCCACCTGCGACAGGTATTCCCTCGAGGCACCGAGGTCGCAGTCGGTCTGGCAAAGCCCGTTGACCAGCCCGATCGACCCATGCTGGCC